TTGAAATGCGACCTGCGGGGCTGGCGACGTGCAGCTATGGATCGAGTGAAATGGAGACTTCTGTATATAGCCAAGGACACCTAGGCTTTAGCCTGAATGGTAAGATAAGTATGGGTGGTGGAATGTTGTTAATACGACAAAAAGCAAACTGAGGAGGTGAATCCGATGGCCAAACTTCGACGGGTCAGGGTGGCAACTGAATTTGCATTTTAAAAATTCCTCCGGGTTTTCCAGAATGGTTCGAAAGTTTCCTGGATTTAAAAATTTGTTTGTAACTAACGATTAAACATTTGCTGCTTTTTATGATTCTATAAATTTTATTTTAAATTTACTTGAATTTCGGCAAATTTTTCATGATTAAAAATTTAAACCGGTCCAAAAAAGCTACTACTCTAATGTAAAATTTCAATCCAACTGTCAATTTAAATTGAATTGTTGAACATTTCGTCTAAAATGATGGACACCCAAAAAAACATTCGAAGCAGAAGCTTATTCAGGCAAAAACATGCTTCTTCCGTTAAAAAATTAATAATTCAGCACAAATAGTTTGTTGGGGCTGAACCGGGCAAACCGTGAGTAATTTAAATTTTAACTAGCCGGGAATCGAGAACAACCGGTAAATAATTGGGAATTTGAATGCATCTAACTATTATAGTCCTAATTTATTTTGAAAATGTATCTAGGTCTTGGATTTTAAATATTGTTGGATTGTTGCCATAGTTATAAATAGATCTTGACGATGTTTTGAAATGGCAGAATCTTGAAATGTTTAAGTCATTCCAGGATCTGAAAATTGGAATTTTTGATACTGGGATCTATAAAAATAAATTCTATGTTTAGAATCTTGATTATTTGAAAGCCCGAGATCTGCAAGTTGAAGTTAAGGATTATTTTAAAACTTTTCTAATCTTTTTATTTTTGTATATGTGTTGGCTTCAATATTCAACTTAGCCAAAGAATCCTGAAAATCTTCACTTTTTTTTTATTCGGGATCATGTAATTTGTTTCTTTATCCTGGATCTACAATTCAAGTCTAAATTGGTAAAGATCTGGAACATCTAGAATCTTGAAATTGTGTCGAAGTCCAGAATTCAAAGTCCAATGAATTTCTATCCTTGAGATCTCGACAATCCTATGTTACTGGAAATTTAATTCAAATCTAGTGGTCACCCTGGTCTGAACATTGTATTGCATACCATCGATGATATTCATGTTAAAAGCTCGTGAAAGTGATCTATTTTGTAATTCGATTTCATCGTTATCACAATCTAAATAGTGCTGGATTGAACTTTTATCATCAACTTCTTTTCTTATAATTATCGAAACAGTTTAAATTGCAGTTTGATCCCGTCTGTTGACATTTATTGCTAAGTTATGATGGCCGTTTGATGAGCTCATCATTTTACAAAACGCTTGACGAACTGATTTTTCAGTTACAAGAATGACGGAAGGTAGTAAGTAACCTAACTATTTTGAGAAATAACATCAATATCATCAGTTCTGTCAGGGTAACTAGCATCTTCAGTAAAATGATCTATTTTTGAAATCATCTTGAAAAGATAATTGTTTCCAGATTAAGAACACGGCTTGAAAAACCTTACCATAATCCGATGTGAGGCGCCAACCGATGCTGCCGGACTACAAGACAAGGAGAAGGTACCAAAGGGTGACATCAAGATCTAACACTGGTGACTTCGATGCGAAGATCGGCTTCGAAAACACGGACTATGAGAGAGACAATTCACACAAGGCCTGCTCAAAGTACGACCCGAGGCCTTGACACGATACTCTTACCAGGCTTGCGGACTGTTCTATCCAGCCCATGCATCCCGATTCTTAGGGTATTTCGCTTCTAGGAAAAACAATACATGGCCTGAATGTGCCAAAAAAATACACCTTGATTTCAAGAAGCAAAATATAGATGTGTAGAATTTTTGCAATCCTATTCACAGGCCAAAAATGTTTCAAATGAATTAGTATTCTCGGTAATCTGCTTCGGTTTCCCGAAAAACAACTATTATTTCAGATCACATCACCCAGGGAAAACATTTTTAAGGAAGTTGCTTTTTGTGTTTCCAAGGGAATTCGAAAAAAAAAACTTCAGGGGAAGTTAGAAGAAGCATCTGGGAGACACAGGAAGAAACTTCCAGAGGCAATCAAAAACAATCCGATAAAAAATTCGGAAGGAACCGATATTTATTCATTGCAAGAAATATTTTGAGATTTGTTAACTTTGGGATAGCTAGTGCATCTACATTGAAATTGGAAGGCCACGCCTCTGTGGAATACAGTTCCAGGAGTTGGAAGAATCTTCCGAGGGAAATGAAAATAAACTTCCAGTAGAAATTGATCACTACTTCCTAGGAAGTAGGAAGGAATACATTTCGAGGGTAAACAGAAAAACCACGGAAGAAACATCCAGAAGAAGTCGAAATAAACTTCCAGTGGCAGTTGGAAAAGCTTTTGGAAAAGACAGAAACTAAAAAAACTCCTGGGCTAGTTCAGAGGAATCTGCCAAGAGTAACCGGAAGAATCTTCCGACTGGTAACCGGAAGAATCTTCCGGGACTAGAGAAGTCAAAAACTTCCAGGCGATGTAAGAAGAAGCTCCCGAAAGAGGTGGGAAAACACTTCCTAGGAAATAACTCTTGGAGAAACCGGAATTCTTCATGGATCGTTCAACAGAATATACAAAATGAACATTCCAATAAACCTATCGTAACGGCGCCGGTGGTGTAGTGGTAAGCGTGATTACCTCTCACCCCAGCAGGCCTGGGTTCAATCCCAGTCGGCGCCGCCGGGATGTTCTGAGGCATTGGTTAACAAAATTTCCCACTTACACTTTATACTAGAATCAAGATCTGACCAGTTAGGGTCTTCTAGCTGGACAGATCTGGACTAGACGAACATACAACACATACACTGTACCAAAAAATCAACATCTAGTCATATGAATCCTCATTCCAACACCACTAACTGCACGACCATGGGCTTCGTGAAAGGAGCGAGAACGGTAACAGAATTTGGTGGCATTCCGAAAATCAAATCACCCACATCAGCATCAGCCGACAATGAAGACGAAACCTTCTTAATGTCCGAAATAAACACACAGCGGGAGGAGATACTCGGTGCAACACACGCCGACTAGAAGATTCAACAGTGAAAAAGTTTTTCGTTGAAGAATTTAAGAACCGAGCAGCGGATGTTCCAGAAGGTGGCAGCGTAGAAGAACAATAGACGGCCATCAAGAATGCCTTTATTTACGTTGAGAGAAAAGCGTGGATCACGAATGAAACCTGGCGGAAGATTTACTAAGGCCATGATATAGCTGGTGAGAAATAGAGGAGACAATAACTAAGGCCTCCGATGGTATTCGGTTCCAGAAAAGGAAATCAAGCACTCTTGCAGGCAACAAGCGGACGAGGGTAGACTAAAGCATTCAAGTAAAAGTACGGACAACTTTCACCACAAAACTGAAAAAAGTTGTTCCAATCAAGGGCATTTTGACGTTTCACACTTTTACTTAGAGGAATTTAGGGTAGACTAACTTGCCGACAAAGGGGAAAAAGCTGCAACTATCTGTGATATATGTCTCCTTTACGACATCTGACCACGCCAAAGTGAAGCATGGATGAACGGCGAATAAGTCATCAACAACTCGGCATGATCCGCCAAGGATGTTCTTAAAGTTCTGTACAAAATTACCCTGAATCAGATCCATGAGAAGATCGACGCTACTCTCCGGTGGCAGCAGGCAGCATTCCGTACCGGATGATCTTGTGTAGACCATATCCGTATCATCCTGGAGCAGGTCAACTCAACTGGCCGACTCAATCACGAGAATCTGTATGTGTGGCACGCCCGCCCTGACGTGCAGAGTATGTACTGCATAACAAAGCCTTATCCGATATTCTCTAGATAGTCGATTTGACAGCTCACTACTAAGGAGCATTTCAACGACCTCTCGAGAAACTCCATAACCCAGCCAAACAATCCTCTGCGGCGAGTCTCATCATCATAGTAAACACGACAAAATTGTTAATACGGAAAACCATTCCATATTTACGGTAGTAATTCTTCGGTGGTAGTAAGGCAAGCAATGGAGAAAAAAAATCAAAGGTTTCCAATATCTCCACAGCCAGATAGCGACAAGCGGCAGGACCAAGAGCCAAATACGTGGACGAATCGCGAAGACTTGGGCTGCCTTTGCGAGATTGCGAAACTTTTCCATTAGTCAATGTACCAAAACCAGAATTTTCAATTCGTACGTTAAATCTTTGCTGTTATAAGTCAGCAAAGCATGGCGCGTTTCCCGACCATTTAAGGCTAGCCTGAAATCGGAAAACAGATAAAAGTGGCGGTAATGTTGTTCACATTAAACAAAAACAATCTTAGACTTCAAAATCAACCAAACAGCGACTGGATCAAGATCTATACCCCAGTTGTAGCTCAAAAGCTGCAGGTCTTGATTTATAAATAATGTGTGCTTGGTGGTCTCATAATTTGATCTCTAATGCCGAACTTCATCGTTGTCATCAGAAGCCGAAATCATTAGAAATTCTCGACGACCTGATTTATTGCACAATCATAGAAGCAATTAACTAAAAAGTCGAAAATGTATTGCAAAAAGTTTTTTTTTATAAATTTGATAAGTTTTGTGTGGATTCCAGGGGCATCGTAAGGGAATGTCGAAGAATTTCGGGGAAAAGTGGATCATTCAAATGAGAATCCAAAAATAACTGATGTCCTACAAGGTCCTACCGATAGAAGTGCTGGGAAATTGTACTTCTTGAGAATTGGACAATGAGCGAGCGTTTTGAAACTTTCGAAACTATTGTTACGTTTATACTACCGACATTGCATATTTGAAATAAATAGTAGTGATTTACTGTAGGTCTGGAAATAGGGACAGCAATCAAAGAAGACAAAGATCATATCCAATTTGAAAGCATTGATACCCAAGATACAATGTGGTAATCTAGGAAATGAAATCCAACATACCTGAGCCAGAGGCGACTGCGGAAAACCCGGGATCGGAATGGGCGCCTGCTGCTGCTGCGGAGGTGGCACCGTCTGCTGAGGTGGCAATGGGATTTGCATCGGAATTTGCTGCTGCTGCTGCTGGGATGTTAGGGGATGCTGCTGTGGTTGCCCCTGAAGAGGCTGAGGTTGTACCCCCGACGGTGGCATCCCCAATGGAGTTCCCACACTGGGAGGCGGGGGAGTTGAATTGGACAAACTATCCGTGTCTTGCTGCTGCTGGTAGAGGTGACCGCCAGTGCTTGGTTTCAGTTCGCAGCTTTTCAGCTTGTTGAATATGTCTCCACATTTCATGCGCTGTTCAAACGAGAACACCGGATGATTGGTGGCCATCGTGTAAACCAACAGCAGCTCCTGTAGTACGTCCTCGTCAAAGAGTCTCGCAAAATCCCGATTGCCCCAACCCTCGAGCGTCTTGAACAGTTCGTTTACGCAGGTATGATTGCAAGCCCGAATCAGCGCAAGGAACATTGCCATTTTGCGGCGATTTTTCCGATCCGTGGGTTCTCCGCTTTGGCAGGATGCGATATCCGAGATGAACTCCTGAGGATTGTTTACCCGCAGCTCGATGCCCCGTAATTCCTGGGCATCGCGCCGACCGAGCTCCTCTAGACACGTCCCCAGGAAGCGCAGCTCGAATGGAAGGCACATATTGAGCAAGGTGCACATCGTATCTATCCGGTTGTAGCTCTGTAACTCTTTGAACCAGTTTACGACTTCGTCCTTTGTATTAATCATTTCCAGCAGCACATTTGATGTCAACCGGGGCCAGAGGGGCTTGTTTCTGCTGATGCTGTCGATGTTGTACGCGGTGTGACGATTGCTGAAGATGCCGATGCTCTCGTCGTACCAGAATGCTGACAAGTTTGCAATGTTGCTTGTTGTGATCAATCGATCGATGATCAGGTCGTCAGGTTCTAAAATTCAGCGTTTATTCGCTGTCTTTATTATTGTTGACTTCCGCATACGGACGAACGATCCATGCAAACACATTCGAGCACCAGGCACAATTTCACACACACGCGCACATCAACACAAACACCTTTATCGTGTTGTGTTCTTGTTGTTGAGGTTTTCAACTTTTTTTTTGAAATTCGGCCAAGGAACAAACGCCAACCTGGAGATCGATCCACTCTCCCAAACCAACCGAACCGTGTTGTGAAAAAAGAAGCCGAAAACCGTACAAAATAAAAACGTAAAAATTCTCTTTCTTCTGTCTTGTCTTGCTTTCTGGGTCCTCTAGAGATCGCGTTTTTCTTGAGGTTTTCTTCTTGTTCTGTCTTGCTATTTCTTCTTGGCAACTTATTCTTCGCTGCCGTTTTATAAGGGGTGCTCCGCGAACTCTTTTTCTACTCGCTGTCTTTCTCTACTGTCAGTCAGAAAATTTCTGCTACTTCCTCCTCCTCCGCCTGCTGCCGCTACTACTGCTGCTGACCGCCAGCAAGAGGAAAAAGAAAAATTTTCACACAAGCTCTCGTTCACGAATTTTTTTTCTTCTCCATTAGCGGACCACTTCAAGTATGATTCCACACCCGAAATTTCCCGTTTTCCGGCTACATTCGCAAGTGATCCGGACAATTCCTTCCAGCCGCGGCGCTTTTTCGTATTCTGAGCTGGTGCTGGCAAGAGATTTACACTTCCTGCGCCACCATCATACACCAAAAAGAGAAAGAGGAAGATGGTAGAAAAAACGGGAAAACACTCTCCGCTGGCACACACGCACTGGAAACTGCGACACGAACGATCAGATAGCCAGGAAAAGCTTCGCTCCGACGTATTCCGACTTGGGCTAATTCCGGGATCCGCGATCCGATTTTTCACCACACATTTGGATAAAAAAGCGACGACGACGACGAATCGCACCAAGAAATGTCTAGGGCAATATAATTTTTCTTCCTTTTGCTTCTGCTGGCTGCTCTCTTACGTTCTTCTTCTTCTTCCTCCTCCTCTCTATTTGAAGTCCTCCTCTTCGGAGTTCGGTACTCTGTGTCAAGGCAGTAAGCGTCAAAGGTAGCCCCATTATGTGCGCTTGACCGAATACTACTTGCAAGAAATTTTCCTGCTTGACAGGTAACGCGCGCGCGACGGCACTCTCTGCGTGACCAATGACATTTATATAAGGTCTGGGCCAACAGGCAGCTTGCTGGTGTTAGAAGCAAAAATGTTGTAAACATTGCTGAACATCTGCGAACAGATAAATATACGTCACTGCCGACATACTGAGAACAGATAGAAATACGTCACTGCCAACAGCTGTTTCGTGTAAAAAGATAAACATTGCAATAAAATACAAACACCACTAACCATTTGCACATTTCACTAACACCAATAAGCCCTTTGGCCCAGACCTTATATAAACGTCATTGCTGCGTGACGCTTCGTTGACAGTCCGTATGACAGGTTGCGTGACAGTGGCTGTCAAAATACGATGCGCGGCTCTACCAGTGATGCCAAAAATTGTGAAAATGTTGTCTTCCAGGGACAGCGGTAACGAAACGGTGGAAACTAACGATTTTAAATTGGCTCACTACTTGAATAGCCTATTGGACCCAATGAAATCGTTTAACGTACCCCATTCTAGTCGAAATTCTAGCATTACACTATGTTTGTTTTGATTCGCTATGAGAGTTTGACAGATAAAATGAGGGGTTCATGGATTTTCCTATGTTTCGAGGGGTACATCGATTAGCTTGGGACCGAAGAGAGTACCAGTACAGAGGTAGCTCTAAGACAAGAAGATCCCGAAGAAACGTGCTCAACTTTTAGGCTCAGCTCTGGTACCATAGAGGCGAGCTTAGAGGTAACTCTAAGACAAGTAGGTCACGAAGAAACGTGCTCAGCTTTTTGGCTTAACTCTGGTTAGGCCTCGGGTTAGGCACCCTAATAAAAATTGTATGGTTAATTTGCTTAACGACGTGTTCTGGGTATCATCCAAACCATTTATGGAATATTTCAATGATTTGGGTTATCGTTCGTTTATGGTTATTTTTTATTAGGGCAGTCTTCGGTCCCAAACTAATCGATGCATCCCTCGAAACATAGGAAAATCCACGAAACATTTCTATTCAAATGAACAGGTCTAATAAATTTATTTATAAAATAATTATGCAGACTAGCAGCCTTGACAGAATTTGGCGTCCGAACGTTACATGCATGTGACGTTATAGTGTTAATCATTCGTAACGGTTGGTAGCTTGTGCCCAGCGAGGTGGAGCACTGATTTTTTTTTCAAATTCGACAGCGATCTTTCATCAAGACCGGAGTCCCAAACGTAAACAATTACTAAATAATTTCTGTAGAATGAAAATAGATGTAAACCATCGATTGATTTTACGATAGATGCTTTTGGTATATATTCTAGAGTTTTCAGATGTTCCATAAATACAAATTAATTTCATGACTACTGTGATACCGAATGTGTATGGAAATGTTATCCTACACAGCAAAAAAAGTTGTTGAATATTACATCGAAACTGATGCAACCAGGTCAATCCATCGGTTGTGTAATATCACGTTGTACGATGTACATCGATTTTGCGAACAAAATTACATCCATTGATGTAATATTGTATCTGCTTTTTGCTATTACATCATTATTTCATACATCAGCTTGAATTACGTTGATCGATATTACATTTTTTTTGCTGTGTAGACGCAAAATATCATAATAAAAAATACGAAATTTATTACGAAAACAAAAACTTTGTGTCAACATTTCAAGGGCTTTTGTAAACGATGACTTTAGCCGTCGATTTCTCGCGAATAAAAGCTTACACATGAAAATTAATGACATCAACAGATAAAGGCATGATTCTTCTACCAGCTACAGAGCAGTAACACAGAAAAAAAAATTGTCGAATATTACATCCAAACTGCTGCATCCGAGGCTGCAACCAGGGCAATCCATCGGTTGTGTAATATAACGTTGTACGATGTACATCGATTTTGCGAACAAAATTACATCCATTGATGTAATATTGTATCTGCTTTTTGCTATTACATCATTATTGCATACATCAACTTGAATTACGATGATCGATATTACATTTTTTTTTTGCCTGTAAGACAAGTAGGTCACGAAGAAATGTGCTTTTTGGCATCCCTCGAAACATAGGAAAATCCAAGAACCAAGGTTACCAAAATTACAGATAAATCTGTCCCTCTACAGATTTTTCAGAGTTTTTAAAACCAAGGTTCTGTAGTCACAGATAACAGATTCCTAGGATTTTAACAGATTACACAGATTTTTAAAATATGATCAAACATTTAATAAATTAAATGATATGTTAAATAACAAAACATTATTTTCACTTCAGTGTAATTTTATCATCACAAACTTTTATATCTATGCATGCTTTTTTGCGGAATGAAAAAGGAAAATGAGAACTGTCAATTTATGATACACATTTTTTGTCTCTCCAGAAAAATTGCTCAATATCTTTTCAAATGACATTTTTTAAGGATTCAATTAATAAATTATCAACACAGATAATATCATCATCACAGATTTTCTGAGCATGAGCATGAGCATGATTGACCGCCCACGGTAGCTACTCTGTTATTGCCAGACCAGCTGTAATTACACAGAGAACCAATAGACGATGCTTGGGACTAGCAATCATCCTCAATGTGTAAAAACTGGTGATCTCAAACTAGACAATACCAGCGCCGGCCGCGCCCGAACACAGGTCAAGAAAGGAAGGGGTAGGAATGTGTTGACGTGACACTCGCTTTGATGGAACCCGAGAACACCTCTGCACTTCCACGAGGAATCACTGGGATATTGGGTAATAGGGTTGGGTTTGCGTTTTGGTAAACGATAAGCTGAATTGATGTCCTGTTATTACCATGTAGTCATGTTAACAAATAAAACGATTGACGAATCTTAAATGTGGATGGCTTGAGATTAGACTCATGATGTTCTGCTCAGTAAGCAAAACCGGTTGTGCTAAGGCCACCGAGCCCCTCATATCACATTATAGCGTTACTCAAGTTTTTATGACTATTCAGACCTGGCACCGACGACAACGAAAAGTTTTACGAAATACACGATAAACAAGTGATCTAAGCATACATTTTTAATATGAAAGGATCTGGGACCGCATTTTTCTGCTCAGTAAGCAAGCCACTGCAACCGACGATCTTTGAAATCCTTAAACTAAAAGCTATGAAAGAGGCCTTCATTAAGATCTATTTTCACGCGACGTTAAATGTTTCGATTTTCTCTTTGCGCATGGTTCAGGTAATCATGACAAGCTATGACCGACGTGACGATTGTGTAATAGAGGTATAGAGGTAACTCTAATACCCCGTTCACATTACAGTCTATATCACGTAATATAGGCTGTCTTGCAATGAGCACTCATACATAGGATTTCCAGTGAAAACTAGATGTATGAGTGCTCATTGCAAGACACCGTATATCACGTGATATACGCTGTAATGTGAACGGGGTATAAGACCACTCGGTCCCGAAGAAAATCATTATTATTTTTGGCTCACTCAGTACCAGAACAACGGTCCCAAGCAGTCCCAAGCTATTTCACTCACCCCTGCATGTTCTGCATGAATCCACACACCCCTGATGTTATCTGTCAAACTTTCATAGCGAATCAAAACAAACATAGTGTAGTAATAGAATTTCAACTAGAATAGGGTACGTTAATCGTTTGCTTGGGACCAATAGGCTACTAAAGTGGTGAGCCAATTTAAAATCGTTAGTTTCGTATTGATTGTTGGTATAAGACCTGGTTGAACAAGCTATTCAAATAAAATTACGTTCTCGAATTTTACTTGGTATGTAATGAACAACAGAAATACGCGATATATTTTCAGCGGTTGGTGGTTAATTTTAAATATACTAACGGTACTGCCTACGACTACGACGGCGATTACGACAGCGACTACGACGGCGCCTACGACAACGACAACAGCGAATTTGTAACTTACCATTTGTCTAGGATAAACACCTTTGCCCGGCACCTCCACTGGTTCTTCATGTCCGCTATCTGTCACTGTTTGCAAAATATCTAATAGCAATTACCTTCCAATACCAATACTTCCTGTATTGCCATGGTCATCTGGGAGGAGGGTCGCATCTAGTGCTTTCCCCAGGAACCGTTCACGGCCACCAGCTACTGCCCGTCCAGTCTTGGGCGTATCCAGCGAGGCATCCTTCAGATTACTTACAATCTCCGACACTCAATGCAAATCGCAGGCACACTTACGCTAGTTACAAAAAAACACACCCGTGCAAAGAAACGGATCAAATAAACGTCACTCTCGCAAAAGCACACCCGTCGTCGTCGAACGGCAAAAAAAAGGAATCGGTGGGCAATTTTGTGATACGGATTTCCAAAATCAACCGGGAATGCACCCAACTACGAAACACGTTCAGAAGCACTTTTGGTACACTTTCGTTCGAAAACACTTAATTTTTTTCAAAAATAGTTGCGAGTGAACCAACGTAACCGACGAACCACCTAAACTAAAATTAAAATTATCGCTCGCGATGCCACAAATTTCTGGACAGGGAGAAAAAATCAAACAACGCAGATAGCGTTAAATCTTCTGTTGCTTGCAAACATGATGAATCATGTTTTCTTTCTCGATTCTAAAACTTCTCGGAAAGCGAGAAAACCACCACTCACACACGTATAACCGTCCGGGAGGCAGAGTGCCAGCGCTAATCCGGCAAATGCAGTCGAAAACTATGAAAGATAATGAACGTACAAAACAGAGAAGAAACTTAAGACACAACCGTTTCCAAAGGCGTTCGAAACTCGACTCCCAATATCATCATCACAGATTTTCTGGAAAAGATTTTTTTGAACAAAAACACAGACACAGAAATTATTCTAACTTCTTCTGATGGGAGTTTCTCGTGGCTTCCTCTTGAAGATTATAACTTTTCCCGGCTACAATAAAATTAGCCCTGATATTTTAAAGTTAGGGATGACAATTGTAGAATTTGACATTTAGTGCGAACATGTGATGTTTTTTTTTTTTATTTATTTATTTTACGCTGATTTAAGCAAATTAACACATGACTAGGGTTACCATATGGTATCCTAAGGAGGACATGTCCTCCTTTTTCAACAATTTTTCTACGTCCTCCTTTTGCCCGAAAATATCCTCCTTTTCAATCCTTGCAGTTTTTCCAATAACATATTCATAAATTTCTTTTCAAAGAGCGTTGTTTGCAGAGCTTATTTGTTTAATTATGTCGCAACTTCATCTAATCTAGCAAATGCCATTTGATGTATACTACAGCTGCCAACTCCGCTACATTTATAGCGAATTCGTTTATTATTCAGTTCCAACCTGGATCGGGTATCAAGATTGGGTCTGCTTGTTTTCTGACAAACGTCAGTTTGTTCGTTTGTTTTTAAAACCTAGCTCAGGTTGAGGTTCGCACTGACAAAAAGTTCGGTTTCGCACTATGGGTTGGAACTGGTTCCAACTCCGATAATAAACGAATTAGCTATTAGACTGCGGTCAAGGCTGCCGTCCATTTCGTAAATTTAAACTTTAATTCTACCAGACTTATTTCAGACAAACCAGGAATCAATTTTGACAAACAATTTCTCGAAAATTAGACGATAAACAACAGAGGAATTTTCGAAAATTATGTATTATTTTCGAATAGTCAGTGAAAATTCATTAAATGGAACTCAACCTCAGGCTGTGTTCCATTTTTCTGAATTTTTACTTAAATTTAACATTTCAAAAATAAATTATAATGTTTGAAAATCTCTCTGTTGTTGATCGTGTGATTTTTTAGAAGAAATTTGTCAAAATTGATTCCTGGTCTGGCAGAAATAAGTCTGGTACAATAACAGGTTTGAAAATTTTATATCTGTCAAATTTAAGTTAAAAAATCACCAAATGAAACACAGCCACACAGATTGAATCCAACATGCGTTCGATTTTGACGTTCTGGTTCTATGGGTATTTCAAGCAGAACTATACAAATCGACGTATCTTATTTTGTAAACAATCACTTCAATCGACGATTTGTGGCAACTGCAAGCTCACTGACAGAAACTAACAACACCAGCTAGTAGGGGAAAGATTTTTCTACCTGATGATGGTCTTTGTTTGCGTGGGTGAGTTAGCAGTTAAGAAAAATCCGTCGATTGAAGAGATTGTTTACAAAAGCATTTTTCGTCGATTTGAATACTTATGCTTGATTTGGCCGCTGCCATACTGAGAGCGAAGAGGCACGTGAAGCGTGAAGTCGAATGTAAGGAATGATAGGAATTATTTTGTACATAACGCTAAGCTATAGCTATAGGCTGTCTTGAAATGAGCACTCATACATTTAGTTTTCACTGGAAATCCTATGTATGAGTGCACATTGCAAGACAGCCTATATTACATTATATAATCCATAGTCTGTACGGGGTATTAGAGTCCTATGCTGAATCAATGGTAAAATTAACAGGTTGCTTAGGTGTTCCATGTTCGTTTCAATCAGCGATGACATGTATACTGATTTTGACCATGATAAAAGTTGGGATGGCTTTAAGGCTGTTAAGCTGCAGTTTTCATGCAAATCAGCTGGACTAGATCATTTCCAAGTATCAAACATGAATTGTGAAGGCTAGTTTGATGCATTTTTCAGAAGTACAAAGAGAAGATGAATTGAATTGATAACGACCACAAGTTGTGAACAATATCAATTGAACCTTCGCAAATCATGAATTGTGTGATAGCGCACATATTATTAAAACGTTTGATAAAAACTCATTGTCTACTTTTAATGTTAAGAAAAGTAATCATTGTCCTCCTTAATCACCAAACTTCAAATGAAATGTCCTCCTTTTCTAGTTTTTGATATGGTAGCCCTACACATGACCAATATCCATGTAAATTTTAAATGGTTTGTGCAAGGCAGTTTTTAACTAAATGAGTTCAAATTTTGGGAGAATGTTTAAAGGACCACATTAGATCTATTTGCGTTGTGTTTAACAGTTAAACAACACTTTGCCCCAACGCGTCAGATCCGGTTCTAATATGGTTGGCCGTTAAGACCCGATTTGGAACGCTTTAAGCACTGTGGAGCAAAAATTTCACATGTTACAGTGGCCACATTGCAACACTTTCCTCAGCTCATTTTTTTTAAATTAACTTATTGCCTCGCTTATTGCTTGAAATTAAAGGTCCTTTAATTAATTTTGAGTTTCTATAGAGAATTGTGACCATAACTTTAAAGTTAGTTTATGGAAAATATGATTCGTTATAATACCTATGAGTTATTTAAACTCGTATCGCAATCATTCCTAATTTATTTATTTTTTTTCGTTTGGAATATGATTGTTAATCGTAATCACGGAAAATATGGGAAGCAGAAATGTATGTAATGTCGACCTAAGTGTCCCTAATTTGGGCCCATACATAAATTCAGCAATCGACTAAATTTTCAATAGCTACCAAAAATATCCATTAGTACCGTCCCAATGACGCGTTCATCTAGATACAATTGATAAATAGTAGATTTTTAGCTATGGGCCCAATCTTAGATCCATAGGCCAACATTAGAGCAATTTCCCCTATTTTTTATTTTTCTTTTTTAGAGTGACAGCCAGTGGATGGTTCGTCACTTAGAATAATTTGATTTAATCCTACGCGATATTTGAAACCTCTTATTCGATATGCATTGTGATACATTCTTTATCTGAAAACAATACTGCCTACGATGACAACCAGTTTTATTATGAATCATCAATTTAGGTAGGTATAATATTAGGTAAATTCAAAGTATCAATAAGTATGATTCTGCTTACACGAAGCGCAATTTGCCGGCAATACAATTCAGCGGCCCAAGCCCCAAGGTGTTTAGAAACCATCGTCATCTTCTTCGGCCATCTCCTTGGCAAGCTCAAGATCTTGCTGTTCGCGTTCACGTCGCTCCTCGGCACTCTCCAGCTCTTTACCGTACGACTTCGGTGGATATCGCATGGCCTTGACGCTCTGGTTATGCAGATCCAGACAGAAGCTAATACGCTGGTGGAATGCCAGCTGGGGTTCACGAGTCGAGTAGACGTCGGTGCTTTCCTTGCTACGCATGTAGCCCTTCTCCGGGTCCAGGGTGGCCTCGATAACTCCATCTCGAATAGCTTTAGCTACGATGAATTCTGCGTCTTCGTGCGAATCCAATCCCAGCTTGCGAGCGATATCCTGAGGACTGATGCGACTGTAGGACAGTCCAATGGAACGGATAGCAGTCTTGATAACGTTGTGACGAAGACGGATAATCAAAGTGAAAGTATGATCTTGACGAAATTGATCGCCAAAGTTCTCCAATACCTCGCCAAAGCGTTGAAGATTTCCGAGACGAACTGCTTGAGTAAGCTGAAAATATGGACCCAAAGATCTACGAAGAGCAGCCTGTCGGAAGACCTGTCGTTCCGGGATATCTCCCAGAAGCAACTCCACAACGATTACTAACTTCTGAACGGTTTGACGGAATCCAACGGCTGCTTGCTGGGGAGCTTTACGCAAAGCTTGGACCAGGTGCTTATGGGCTGCACTGTAATCCAACTTAGCTGCTTTGATGCGACCCAAATAGTACAGGAAACGTGCCCATTCATTATTGCTAGCCGTTTCCGGGAAAACTGACTTATTGACCAACTTGTCCGCTTGATCGTACAGTGAGTAATGCAAATAGTTCCTGAGCAGACAGTTAATCAAAACCGCCTGACCCTCGAAATCGTTTCTCAGCGTTGCAGTTCTTAGTCTCGAATGCAGATATCCCCTGATACTCTCCAAATCTCCATTCAATTCTGCAACTCTCGAGTGATAGAAATAACTCTTAGCAGCAATCAGATCCAAAGACCTTCGATTTTGCCCGACGATTTTTGCCATCAAATCTTGGGAGCACTTGACGGCCTTTGCTAGCTCATTCTTGTCCAACAGCCTCACCAGTAGCAACAAGTGGAAATAGGCATCCACTTCCGGCAGAGGACTTTTGATTGCGGCTCGCGGTCTAGGCAACTCCGGTTCTTGCATACCTTCCGGATAATCCTCAATGTACGCCATAATTCCCTCCCTTTCCGCACCTGCAGGGAACAGTTGCACTGCTAACGATCGAACTACAACCAAGCTCAGTTTCCTCCGGGTGTTTGGTAGCGACCGCAATACACGCAGAATAAATCGTGGTTCCTTGCTGGTGACCGCTTTGTCAATCTGCCGTGCCTGCTCGCGAATCTCCTGCACCGTGAGCAGTTCGGCATCCTTTTTCGCTGCTTCCGCATCTTCGGCGCTCTCCATTTCGACATCCTGAACGGCCGGAGCTGGGTCGGCAGTTTGGGTAACCATTTTCAGACCTTTTTAAACTTACGAAAATTGGATGATTTTACCAAATTTGCGCACGTATTTTCCACACTCGCTGGTGGCTTTTGTGTTTTCAACTTTGCGAATGGCTGCTGTCAAACAGATTTGTGTCGAGTCATGAAAATTCGAGTAGAGTGAAGTAGACGGCGATGGTGCTGTTTGCGCCCTTGCGCCTCGTTTCCAAATTGAAAAAAAAACCTACACGCTAACTTCAGCTTACTCACCGGGTGAGTCGATCGTACTCACTTTCGTCCGATGTATCGAGTTGTCAAAAACTGAGTAAATGATAAATGTCAAACGGAGTAAAAGCGACTCAGTCTGCAAAATCCTGGACTAAGAAAAAATGTCAATCATATTGGAGTACAGTGATGGCGGTGCTGCATTAACCTCAGTTTGTTTACACTTGCGGCATTCGCCCTTATTCCAGCTTCATCTACACGGTAAGAAACGCACAAATGTTGGCTACTTTTCTCGAGGTTCTAGAAGAAAAAAATTCAAAATAATGTTTTATTTCAAAGTTTGAGTGGTAGTAAACGTCATTTTAAGTGCTCGAATAAAGTGGTTAATTAATAATGCTAGCTGGTAGAGGAAACATTCATTTACCTGTAGGTGTCATTAATTTTCATGAGTGAGCTTTTATTTGCGAGAAATCGACAAACGTCATTTTAAGTGCTCGGATGAAGTGGTTAATTGTTCGTCTACAATATATTGAATTAACCACTTCATTCGAGCAGTTAAAATGACGTTTACTACCACTCGAATAAAACATTATTTTGAGATTTTTTCTTCTAGAACCACGAGAAAAGTAGCCAACATTTATGCGTTTCATAAAAAAAATAGAATTTAGTTAGTCCAGTTTTGTGAAATCGCTGGTAGAAAGTCACGCCAAAACTGCTTGACAAAGTGGTCAATTAACCACTTCATTCGAGCAGATAAAACAACGTTTACTACCACTCGAACTTTGAAATGAAACATTATTTTGAGATTTTTTCTTCTAGAACCTCGAAAAAAGTAGCCAACATTTGTGCGTTTCACAAAAAAAATAGAAATTAGTTGGTCCAGTTTTGTGAAATCGCTGGTAGAAAGTCACGCCAAAACTGCTTGACAAAGTGGTCAATTGCTTCCGATTTTTGATCAATCTAAATTCTCTCCGTCAGACTATGAATATAGAGCAGTGCACGGTCCCTAAACTCACTTCTAAAAATCTCTTAAATAAAGTTAAAAAAAAAAACCTAACCTCACTTTTTGATTTCAATCATTTGGCTATGAGTAAAAGATATGATGGGACCCTAAGCAAACCACACAAAACTGTCAAAATTTACGGGTGAGAGAAAAGTGCAGCAAATCGTCGTGGACTGATCTATAGAGATTGCTAAAGTGTGATAGTGTCAGTGATTTGTTTTCATCGGGAAAATTTTCCGCTATGAAGTTTTTTTTTTCCCGATGGAAACATTTTATACGTATACGTATACGTTACGTAGTGTGCGTACCTACACACAAAGAAAAATCGTTGCTAAAATTAAAAAAATCATTGATAGAATTAAAAGTTCGCATTGGTTCTTTTTGGTAGAAAGCGGTTGACTTTCAAAACAAAAGTCAGCCAACTGTTAAATCAAAAATTGTTCGCTCTATACTTTTAAAAGTTAAAGCTTTCAAAATAAATTGTATTACTGTCAAATTGAAAACACGGCAGTGATAGAATTAAAATCAGGTTCTTTTCAATTCAAGACGATGTTTTGATTTGAAAATGTGATATAGTTAAAACGATAAGTAACATTTTGAAATAAAAAATACACAATTTCACCGTAATAACATCTTTATTCATTTTAAATTCTAAATAATATATAATTTAAGGTTATCAGATATAAGAAAAAAAGATTAAAATACATTTATTATCCATTTCCTTTACAAGCGTTATGCAATGAGATTCACGAAAAGACACATATTCACATCCCGTCAAGTAAAGGTCGAGTGAAGTAACACAAAATCCGGACACTGGCAAGGCAAGCTTGATATTGTTTACCATTTCGTAATCTGTAAATCCTATGCCGCAGCTTCATAAAGTACCAACTGGTCACGGGTTTTACGGGCAGCGGGTTCTCGTCCTTCTCCCGATCAAAGTTTAATTTACCTTTTTCGTTATTATCCAGTAGGGCTTGATCCTTCTCCAACAGGAATTTGATATGGTCGATACCGAAAACTGTCACGACTTCTTCCTGGTAGATTCCATAGTTTGATAAAAAAAAAAGAATCTAAAAATCCAATAACAATAACAATGAAAATAGTGTACTTACCATTTGGAATGCCAATTTCACGTGGGTCTCTACATAGCAACAAATAATGTCGGAATATCCAACTGAGAAAACTTCAGTGTCTGGTATCCCACAGAAGAATGCTGACTCTTGTTGTAACTTCAAAGCTGGATTTCATGTTCACAGCGGCCAGACTAGCAGAAAAGGCGGCATATGAGATGTCAGTGCAGCCAGTAAAAACATCGTAGAGGGGTACTTTTGACAGTTTAACAACTTTTGTTTTAAAAATATGTACTTTTAAAACCACGAATCAAAAGTAAAAGAAAAACTTTCAATTAAAAAAAACTAACTTTTATTTTGAATCTTTTTGCTGTTGAATCTACAAATTTTGGGAAACTTTGAATTTGAAAATGCATTATTTTTATTAATACAATTTTCGTTGTTTGTGTGTAGGTGCGTACGATAAACGTCAGCAATCTCTATAGCGACTATAGACGAATGCACGAATGGATTTGAGTACACTCACTTGACAAAAAGTGACACAACACCGGGGCCCTGTTTACTAAAAATGAACACATGAATAATACTCACGTAACATTTGAAACGGGTCTACCAACTTATGTACACAAAACTTGTTAAGCCTTTTTCGCGCGAACCGAACACGCTCACACAAACTAACAACACCATAGGGCAGAGGAAATTCTCCCCTTCCCGATAGTGCTCTTGCTTTGCGTGGGCCTACTTCGGTTCTCGTGAAAACGACCTAGCTAATAATTTACAAAAGTTTATAGGCCCTTTTCAAATGTTACGCGTGTGTGTTCATTTTTAGTAAACAGGGCCCGCTGTTATGTCAATTGACCACTTTGTCAAGCAGTTTTGGCGTGACTTCCAGCGTTTTCTCAAAACTGGACAAACTAATTTCTATTTTTTTATGAAACGCACAAATGTTGGCTACTTTTCTCGAGGTTCTAGAAGAAAAAATCTAAAAATAATGTTTCATTTCAAAGTTCGAGTGGTAGTAAACGTCATTTTATCTGCTCGAATGAAGTGGTTAATATTTTTTTCAGTATATTGTTATACCCTGGACAGACTGGAAATCCTATGTATGAGTGCTCATTGCAAGACAGCCTATATTACATGATATAAGCCATAGTCTGTCCAGGGTATTAAAGGGCTCGAGCAATGCAATAATCATTCGAAGTATTGCGGGTGTTTTCGTTCAGTGTAGATGAATAAAAGTGTTCACCCCTGGATCAACAATAGAAAAGGGCCCATCAGCATTTGTAAACAAATCGTTCCAAAGCTCATTCCTCACAAATCGAAGGCCGCTCAGACAAACCAACAACATCATCGTGTAAGTGGAACTTTCCCCTATCCGATGATGGTGTTGGTTTGCGTAGGTGGCCTTCGCTTTGTGAGTAAATGGCTTTGGAACGGTTTGTTTACAAATACTGATGGGCCCTTTTCTATTGTTGATCCAGACCCGTGCACTCGTCTATTGGAAACGAGTCCACAAACTACTTGAATAAAGAGTACCAACCGCTGCTTTTTGCAACACATCCTGCAGTCTACAGTTCAGTGCCAACATTTCAAAGGGGCGTAATTGCATTTGTAAACAATGACTTTCGCCTTCGATTTCTCACGAATGAAAGCTCACTCATGAAAATGAATGACACCAGCAGGTAGAGGAATGTTTCTTGTCCCAGCTAGCATTGATAATTTGGAGGGGTGGGCTTTTATTAGCGAGAAATCGACGGCTAAAGCCATTGTTTACAAAAGCAATTACGCCCCTTTGAAATGTTGGCACTGAGTTGTCAAAAATCATCAGCTCTGGTCTCGTCGAATGAATGACGTGAAATCGCGCTGTCAGGCGGAGATTAGAGAAACTGCAGATTCCATGAGCAGGACGAATTTGCACGTAGATTTTCTGTGATTTTTTCCATTTTAAGCTCGCTGTTGACTAGCAATATTAATTAGATTACTTTCCGACGATCTATACCCACCGATCGAAATGTGGTCAGATACGTTGCTGATCGTATTTATATCCGTGTGCACCGCGTTCCTCGGTGAAGGTATGACCTTCCATCGTAAGTTATGATATGGGGATTTCGCTCAATTTCATGGTTTTAATTTATAGGATTAACCTGGTTGATGGTCTACCGGACAGAAAAATATCAGAAACTGAAGGGCGAGGTGGAGAAGCAAAGCAAGAAATGTAAGTTGTTCTAAACAATGAAGATTTTTAAACAAGTCGTAACCCGCTTGGTCTACTGCAGTGGAAAAACGCAAGGAAACCCACGGTGATTCGTTGGACAAGTCACACAAGAAGAAAATCGAACGAGATGAGGAAAAGCTGAAAAACAACAACCGGGATCTATCGCTGGTTAAGATGAAATCGATGTTTGCAACCGGTTTCGCCTTCACGGCACTGCTCAGCATGTTCAATAGCATGTAAGTTGATGTCTCAATAATTGGCCAAGGTATCAGTTGCTAACTAAGAATATTCCTTTTCTAGTTTCGATGGTCGCATAGTGGCTCGGCTACCGTTTACTCCCATCTCCTGGATCCAAGGACTCAGTCATCGCAATTTACCTGGAGACGATTACACTGAGTGTTCCTTCATATTCCTTTACATTCTCTGCACGATGTCCATTCGTCAGAATATTCAGAAGTTGCTGGGCTTTGCTCCCTCCCGAGCGGCCAGTAAACAGGCTGGCGGACTATTTGGACCAACACCGGGACAGTTCAAGTAGTCACCAACACAAGCAAAGTATGGAAGATGCAGTTAAATGCTTACAGTTTGTTATTTCGTTTGTGTTTGATATGAGAAGTTTGCCAAAAACAAAAGCCACAGATCGAAAGTTGGACGTTTCTCAAAGCGAGAGAAAAATTATGATTTTTGTTTGTCTTGGGCTAACCACCTCATCCGATTATTTATTAGACTAGTTAAAAGCTTTCCCTTCCCAACTTGTGTCGTGTTTATCTCGTTCGCGTAATCATCAAAAGTTAACAATCATTCTCATTTTGAAGCGTAGTTTTCCCTACTGAGGTGCAAACGAACTTCTAATCGATTAAATTGTACATTGTGTAGCGGCAGCGTGAGAGACATAGAAAATAAAATCCAATTTTAGTTTAATGATAATGTTGGTGTGTTTTACTGGTCACGTGTCACACGATATTCGCTTCGAAAAGCGGTTGATCCACCAGAATTCGATCGAATCCGAATCGTGTGAGGTCAATTGTTCGGAATTCACCATCGATGATCATTTCGGAGATGGCTCGGCCAACGGCTGGAGTTTGTTGAATACCTTCGAATAAGGAAAAAGTTGTTAATCAAAGGCCATTTCATAAGTAAATTCTAAGATCACATACCGTGTCCACTGAATCCTGTCGCGATGTACAAGTTGTTGTAGTACGGATGCGGTCCGACGATTCCATTTTCGTCAAATGTGTTGTACTCGTAGTACCCTGCCCAAGCATTTTTGACCTTTATCGCTTCGAAATTGGGCACCAGATGTGCTAGATTCGGCCACACGTGGCTATCGAAATATGTGTGATCAACATCTAAGTTATTCACCGAAGGTTCCTCCGAAGGCAAAGGACTCTTTCCAGCAAGGTAGTTGCCACCTAACCCGTCCCGTCGGAAATACGTCCCGGTGGGATCGATAGTCAAGGGAGTATTGATTCCCGGACCATTATCATTTTCACATTGGAATACATAAACGTATCGCTTTCTCGGTTCCACCGGCAAGGGTATCGAAAGCATTCCCTTCCCCGTTCCAATACGGGCCAGTTTCGCCACCTCTCCCGACTGTGCACCGGCTGCAATAATTACGACAGAAAATTTCACATCACGTATTTCGCCATTTTTCATTTTCAAGTATGCTCTGTCCAGTCCTTCGTACTCTCCAGGATTAACGCCTTCGACGAGGATATCCGGATGCTGACGGAACTCGAATCCTACCAGTTCAGCTTCCGTATAATGAGCACCATACTCGATTGCACGCTTTTTGAACCCTGTGAGTAGCGCCCACGGATCGAACCAACCCTCCTTTTCCAAACCATGACACCCAAGAGCTATCCCTTCGGTATTCATCCATGGAAACCGTTCCTTCAATCTGGCAGCCGTCAAAATCTCATTCTTAGCTCCTAACGTATTTTGTAGCCTAGAATTCTCTTGCAGCTGCTCTGCTCCAGCTTCCGAAGCAAGCATCAAGTATCCATACGGAGTAAAATTCACAGCTACATCTTCGCCCAAGTACTCCTTAACATTCCTTATGAAGTCCGCTCCATACAGACTCATTTGAATATTCTCGACAATGGAAAACTGCTGTCTCAATCCACCTACCGATAAGCAAGTCGAGGCCGTCTGATAAGTAGCATCTTTCTCCGCCACCACCACATTCAGTCCTGCTCGGGCTCGCTTCTTTAGCCAGTACGCAATCGAAGATCCAATGCCGCCACCGCCTATGATCAGTACATCGCAGTGACTCTGGAAATCTTCCCTCCTGTACCGTTCCAGATAGTTGTCCGCTTCCTCCGACGCCTTCTTATTGGGTAGAATAAAGGTTTTGACCTTTTTCATATCATTACCCAAAATCTTCACCGTCCGTGACAACGGGTTCTCCCGATTGGCTTCCACTTGACCAGGCTTATACGAGCCTTTACCATCTTTCCCTTCATCCTTAAAAGAAAACTGTCTAGCAAAACAAGCCAGTTCTCGCTGTCCCCACGGATTGACACACAGATTTTTACTTAGCCGGATCATTTTGCGTTGTTCTCAAGAGGAACTGATACCGTTGAATGCTAGTTTTTGCTTGTCACTGACAGTAAAGCGCTCGTCGTTATCTTATCAGCGAGAGCACTTGTTTTATTATTCAGCTAACAATTCAGCTAGTATTTGCCAAATGCTCTTGAAATCTGCTTGTGATGGTATTCATTACTTTTCTTTTAATTCCAATTTAGAAAAAAAATATTTAGAGTATGTTCTTTCCGACATCAAAAATTATGTAACGTTCACTGTGGGGATCTGGTGGATTTCCAAAACGATTGCAAAACTAGGGAGTGATTTTATAGTTTCATCAGTCAAATATTGTTTTATTTGTTATCAAGTTAACCTACCTAATAATTATTATTTATTTTATTTCTGAGATACAAATTGAAAATGCAAGGTCCTTCTCTTGGTAGACTTACTGCCTTGCTGTTTACAAACAGATCGCATCATCACACGCTATTTCAAAACTACCCAAATTTGGGTAGAATCCACCCATATCGGTCAAAACTGAACCTACCCAAAAATGGGTAAACTGTGTTGGGAGTTACAAGTTGACAAATGAACAACATCGACATGAATCCGATCGACGTTGTTAATTTGTCAACTTGTCACTCCCAACACAGTTTACCCAATTTTGGGTAGGTTCAGTTTTGACAGATCTGGATGGATTCTACCCAAATTTGGGTAGTTTTGAAATAGCGTGCAGAAAGAACCGACAGAACAAGCACGTGTGTGACAGCTGAAGAGCTCGCGGTCGCAAGCACACGGTAACTCTAGAATACTCCTTTTATGACTATGTTTTACACATTTTCGAGAATACGGTTTATACGTCAAAAAATGTTTAGATTTTAGTTACAAATGAAGAGTACTTTTTATGCATTTCCGAGTATGTCAACGACGAACAAAAATGTGTAAAAAGTAGTCCCCGCTGAGAAAAGAAAATTTATGCCGCGACGTGCCGCCATATTCAAAACAGCGTTCATTGGAAAAGCAGCGTTTTAATTCAGTTCCGGGTCCCGGATTATTTCAGCGGTGGGTTAGCGGAAAATGGAGGAATTGTCCACTTTGGAACAGGACGTATTCACGACACTAGTAGGTAATTAAAGCATTTACTTTTATTGTTACCCAAATATAAAAATTCAACCGAATAAAAAGGACATCGAGTATTCATGACGTGTTAAATTAAATTTTCATCTAAATGTAGATCATGTCCGCGGATGCCTCCGAATCATGGGACAACTGTCCAGCAAAGGCGTTAAAAAACCGCCAAACGTGATGCCATTGGGACATTGGGAGTCGAGGAGGAGTTGGCAGCACCGCTGATTCGATGGATTGGTGTAAGTGTTTTGACGATTGATACGAATAAAATCTAGAAAGGATTTATTCCATTTAATAAAATAAATAAATATTACTGTTAAAATTATTATGCATTTTTATTCAATATTTGAAACGATCTTGAAATACAAAATTTGTTTTATCGTAGGTATATTTTGTTTTCAATGTAAAAACTATGCATTTAACTTTGCATGTGGGAGTATAAATTACGCATTTATACTTTGCTCGGGGTGTCAAAACTACGCATTTTTAAGTTTACTATATGGTGTAAAAAGTATGCAGATTCTGACGTACATTCAATTTACGCAAAAGAGAGTAAAAACAGTATACTCCTTTATTGGGTAGTCCCATTTTCCAAAGAAAGAGCGTACTTTATAGTCATAAGAGTGTTTGTTGTGATTACCGTGCATGCAGCCGAGTGACAAGCCGCTGGCGGGCTGGCGCAACATTTTTGAGGTGACCTCAGTTTCCGACAGGGATCCTTTTTCGTTTAGTTCGATGCGCACGGAGAAACGAACGAACTCAAATTGACATATAGAAAATACTTAAAAATAAGTTTTCCCCTAACACTATATATATCTTGAATAAATAAAGAACACAGGAATGTGAAACGCAAAATGATCAACAGTTTGACAGATTATGCAGTTAACTGATCATTCAGCAACATTTTCAGGATTGCTGATTGTTCAGTAAGCACTGCTTTTACTGGAAGCAGTTCAGCAATAAATTCATTTTGCTGGAGCTCGATTCCAATTTTTGGTGTGTACTGTTTTGGATACACTAGTAGCAACAATCAATACGAAACTAACGATTTTAAATTGGCTCACCACTTTAGTAGCCTATTGGTCCCAAGCAAACGATTAACGTACCCTATTCTAGTTGAAATTCTATTACTACACTATGTTTGTTTTGATTCGCTATGAAAGTTTGACAGATAACATCAGGGGTGTGTGGATTCATGCAGAACATGCAGGGGTGAGTGAAATAGCTTGGGACTGCTTGGGACCGTTGTTCTGGTACTGAGTGAGCCAAAAATAATAATGATTTTCTTCGGGACCTAGTGGTCTTAGAGTTACCTCTATGCTAGTAGAATTCCAAACATTTTTATTGACGAATTTCCATGTTAAATTCCACATGATTTTCATGTGACCACACATAAACAGAATCCACCCAGAAGCACACATAAAATGTATGAGTCAAATAAATAGTATGCGTCGTTACAAATGGCTTTTATGTGTACACATATTAAGTGCACAAAAAAAAACCGTTGCTAAAATAAAAAAAAATAAAAAAAATTGGTGGAATTAAAAGTTTGCGTTGGTTCTTTTTGGTAGAAAGCGTTTTGCTTTCAAAATAAAAGTCAGCCAACTGTCAAGTCAAAAGTTTCGCAGCCACAACTTTAAAAATATAAAACTTTTAAAATGAATTGTACTGAAATAATTGTACTTCAAATCAAACTCTTGAAATGAAAGTGTTGTACAGTTGACATAATAGGTGTCATTTTGAACTGAAGAATCGAATATTTTCAATTTAAAAACAAGTATTTTTACTTTCAATTTTATTGAATATTAAATTAAAAATTTGTAAACTATATTTATTATATATTTTGAACAATAATAGAACAACCGTTTACGTGCGATCCACAAAAATATCTGCCTCAAAAGAACGTCCTGGTCCTGAACACCATCACCTCATCCATCACATCCCGTCATCTGATGCGGTCTAGTCGTTCCTTTGTAACTATGAAGCTACCCGTTTCTTTATCTTCTCGATGGACCTTTTGACCAATGACTCCTCCACCGGTGGATATCCAATCTCTGTATGTGATGCGGTTCCAGCTGGGAGCAGGGGGAACGACACTCATTTGGATGTATTTTTTCAGTCTAGTAATTACTTGGGATTTTCCGGGAAAAACATAATTGATGGGATTTTTTTGAGTGTGTCCTGTTGACGAAAATAGAGCACGGATAGAAAAAATAGATGGGATAGATCAGGGAATGGATGTGATGTGAGGGGTGTTAAAAAGTTTCAGAGGAATACAAGTCCGAACGCGAAGAGGATAGGTGTAAAAAGAAGAAAAATCTACTGCAATGCAGCGTCCATAAATAACGTGACGCTTATAGGGGGAGGGGGGTCACCTATATCGTTACGAATTATTACATAAGAGAGGATGAGTAAAGCTTTCCGTTACTTAACCACGAGAACATTTTGTTTTTTTTTTGTTCCTTGATTTTTTTTCCTTTGGTTTGTTTTTTCCGTCGATCTTGTTTGCCTCAGAACATCCCGGCGGCGTCGACTGGGATTGAACCCAGGCCTGCTGGGGTGAGAGGTAATCACGCTTACCACTACACCACCGGCGCCGTTCAATTGTTTCTTGATGTAAAGTTTGAAAATTCAGCTCAAAAAATGCCATAACTAAATCTTGCTTGCAAAATGGATATTTTTTAATTTTATATCTTGTGATTTTTGCTCTGCTTAAACTTTTGAAAATCAGGTACTCGATGTTACGCTGATCTTTTGTTTTTATTTTGATAATAATACAATTACCTAGAAATAAAAAAAGACATACCGGAATGAAAAATTAATTAAATGAGACGGGAGGAGGGTGTATTTTAGAGCGTTACGTAATAAATAGAGGGGGATCATTTCCAGCGTTACGTTTTGTTCTGATGGGGGGGGGGGGTCGAAAATTTTGATTTTTAGCGTAACGTAATTAGTGGACACCGCCCAACAATATTAACCAAAGATCACAGCTCCAGTGCAGAAAACGGTTCCGTACCAAATAGGTCGAAACTGCACAGTATGAGGAACGGGTGGTGGCGATGGATCACTATAGGTTCCGGTTAATATTCCCAGCTATATTTGGACGGGAATTTGATTCATCATGATTTGCCATCAGCCGGTGGGTGTCTTCCTTCACTATTAGCTCTTTCTTCTCCGGATCCTTGACCAGCAGCAGCAACTAGTAAAACTTGGGCCGGTTGGAAAAATGACCTGAATTCCTTCTCCACCTGCTTGTCGAAACTTCCATGCTACAACACACAGACACCTGGGCTCTTATCCGTCGAATTCGATCGGTTTAAGTCCGGGAAATGGATGTTCGTTACCGTCTTCTCCGTGATGCACTTGATGTTGTCCCGCGAACGATTTTAGACGAGTGGTCCGTCAACTTTTTTAAGTTTTCCGATTTTTAACCGGCATAGTCAGCTGACATACATGGTGTTTGTTGTGAAGATTGTTGAAAAATGACAGTGATAATGGCAGAGTGCTTCGCGGTCGACCTGAAAACTTCGAGAAACTGCATGGCTTGCTTGACAATTTATGTGCATGCAGAAGGGATAAGTTGGGAATAGAAAGAATAGATAGGATGGATTGAAATTTTGTGCACGTTGAAAATTTTATGAGAGGTTTTGGTAAAAATGGGATAATCCTGAAGTTTCGAGAGACATTTATCGTCGATCTTTACGCTACGATAGTGAAATTTGATTTCCTCCAATCACATCTTTTGACCGGTGACCAGATAATCTTGGAAAAACCGAGGGAAAACAGGTAAAAGTCTGTATCGTAATCCCGCACCAGGTCATTTCAGCGTTCAGTACCTCGTTGGAGATAGAAAGGCTGTGTATGTGGCTACGGTAGTGTCCGATACCAGCGAAAATTTCGATGATTTCCTGCTACTTAGATTACAACGATGAATTAAATAATAGGTAACGGTTCAATCCCGGTTTCATTTTTGGAATGATCTTCGCCGTGTTGGTATTGATCCCGACGGTGTCGTGGCACCGAGACAAACACTATAGGTGACCTGAAAAGTAATCGATTATTTAGTTATTCTACACTATTATCAATCTTACCTTTTATGAAGTCACCAACGAAAGCAATCTTGCAACTTTCATTCTTTGTCAAATTAGTTTTTTTTTTCATATTGACTCAAGGAGAGATACTGGAATCGAATCCCGTCAAGGTTCCTTTCAAGGATCTGGCTGAGGGTGGGGGCTTCCGTTGCATTGAATTCCAATTTTTTTTTCCGCACATTTTGAAAACTCAAAAATTTAGGCCTGTAGATAACACTATATGCCCTGTTGGCTTTTTTTTGGATTTGCTGCCAAGAGGTATTTTTGACAGTAAAACAATTTGGTTTTGAAAATATGCGCTTTTAACATTACGAGTCGATAATGAAAGAAACACTTTCCAACCAATTACATTGCTTCATTTTGAATATTTTCATGGTTAAAACCTCGGTTAAAACTACGAAATAAGGAAAACTTTCAATTTGAAAACGAATAATTTTTAAATACACAATTTTCGGCTCGACACATAGATATCATTTGTTGATCACATTGCAAAAATTCATGTGTGGGGCACATAAAACAATCTTTGAAATTTTATCAGTGTAGAGTTCTATCAACAATCAATACGAAACTAACGATTTTAAATTGGCTCACTACTTGACTAGCCTATTGGTCCCAAGCAAACGATTAACGTACCCCATTCTAGTCGAAATTTTAGTACTACGCAATGCTTGTTTTGATCGCTATTAAATTTTGACAGATAAAATGAGGGGTTATTGTTTTTTCTTATGTTTCGAGGGGTTAATCGATTAGCTTGGGACCGAAGAGAGTACCAGAGCTGAGCCAAAAAGTTGAACACGTTATTTCGGGACCTTCTAGTCTTAGAGTTAGCTCTATGGTTCTACCATAGAGGTAACTCTAAGACCACTGGGTCCCGAAGAAAATCATTATTATTTTTGGCTCACTCAGTACCAGAACAACGGTCCCAAGCAGTCCCAAGCTATTTCACTCACCCCTGCATGTTCTGCATGAATCCACACACCCCTGATGTTATCTGTCAAACTTTCATAGCGAATCAAAACAAACATAGTGTAGTAATAGAATTTCAACTAGAATAGGGTACGTTAATCGTTTGCTTGGGACCAATAGGCTACTAAAGTGGTGAGCCAATTTAAAATCGTTAGTTTCGTATTGATTGTTGGTACCAGCGTAGAGGTAACTCTAAGACAAGTAGGTCCCGAAGAAACGTGCTCAACTTTTTGGCTCACCTCTGGTACTATCTTCGGTCCCAAGCTTGTCGAATCACCCCTCGAAACATAGGAAAAACCAATAACCCCTCATTTTATCTGTCAAACTTTCATAGCGAATCAAAACAAACATTGCGTAGTACTAGAATTTCGACTGAAATAGGGTACGTTAATCGTTTGCTTGGGACCAATAGGCTACTAAAGTAGTGAGCCAATTTAAAATCGTTAGTTTCGTATTGATTGTTGGTACCAGAGCTGAGTCAAAAAGTAGAGCACGTTATTTCGGGACCTTCTAGTCTTAGAGTTACCTCTATGGTTCTATCAACCGGTGGAAACGAACGATTTTAAATTGGGTCACTACTCGACTAGCCTATTGGTCCCAAGTAAATCTATAATCGTATCCCATTCTAGTCGAAATTCTAGTACTACACTATGCTTCATTTGTTTGACCGATAAAATGAGAAATTCGTGGATCGGTCAAAACTGAACCTACCCAAAAATGGGTAAACTGTGTCGGGAGTGACAAGTTCAGGCGTAACCTTTGATAACGGCACAAAAGCTTTTGTAAACAAAAGTTGTAACGCCCCTTAAACACGAACCGAAGAACACTCACGTAAACCAACAGCATCATCCGATAATTGCATTGGTTTGCGTGAGCGTACTTCGGTTCGCGTTACCCCGTTCACATTACAGCATACAAAATTTGTTTACAAATTTTTTTGTGCCGTTAACAAATGTTACGCATGAGTTGACAAATGAAACAATATCGAACGAATTCATGTCAATGTTGCTCATTTGTCAACTTGTCACTCCTAACACAGTTTACCCATTTTTGGGAAGCTCAGTTTTATCGATCTGGGTGAATTCTACCCAAATTTGGGTAGTTTTTTAGAGCGTTTGAGCTCCCACTACACGGAACCGAAAAATTACCCAAAATTAAGTTCTTTTCACTCATCTCCCATCCCCCATGTTCCGTTCAATAAGTTAATTTTCAGTAAATCGCTTATAGTAGTTTACATTATTTGACTACGGCAAAAATAATTACTTGCTCGTGAGTATTTTCTACCCAAAATTAAGTTCACTTGACTAAAATTTGAGAACATCTCATATACTCACTAGTAGCTTATTGAACGATAGTCATGAGAAAATCGAATCTCTCGTTCCGTTTTTGACAACAACCAATAGTGAGAGTATATACCTATAGAGATTAGTGACGTTTAACGCATGCACACTAGCGGGAGCAACGCCGTGTAAAGTTGTTTATTATTTTCCTCTGGCTAACCTAAAAAATGTATGAGAGTAGATCTGTCAAAATGAGTTTGACATCGATTTGTTATGTATTTTCCTCGGATATTCACCAACACGCTTTCACATATCGCACCAATACAACCGGACGTAAAAATCTCAATAGAATGCAAAACTCAAAATTACCCAAAATTAGGTAAAAAGCACTTAAATTTAGAGTATTGTTTTCTCTATGAGTATGTATGTGTGTGTATGTAGTCATAGAGCTTTTTAACGCTTAATCGGCGCACACTAATGCGCAGCATTTAAATTGAAGGAGTGCGAGCAAGAGGGAAACAGATTAGTGGGAAAACAAAACATCCATTTATCCCTGAGTGCTAGATAAAGACAATTAAACGTCACAAAGGTCTATGAGAAAATCGAATCTCTCGTTCCGTTTTTGACAAGAACTAAAAGTGAGTGTGGGATACAAAACTCAAAATTACCCAAAATTAAATCAAAAGAACTTAAATTTAGGGTAATTTTTTTCTCTGTGTACAGATTTATGAAAACATATCCTGGCATCCCTGTTTAGGCCCCTACTGTTTTCGTGCAGTTCAGAGCAAGCGTAAAAATTTAACAGCGACCGAAGAAAACTTTTCTCGATGGTGGTCAAAACGTCGCGCTTTTGATTTGTGGTATAGATTTTCGCTAAATTTTCAAATTTAATCGCATCGAAATCGATTCAATTATAGTGCATTCGCTTCGTTCCCAGTGGTTGTCTTGAAATAGTGTGCCGGTAGTTGCTGTTCTTCACGATAAAAGGATAAATTTTGCGAGGTAAGTTTGGCTATGTAGGGACGTCGCCGAATGTGGCAGCAGGTCTTCAAGGAGGGTAGAGAAAAAGTAATGTATAAGAAGGGGAGCGCTAGTGCGGCTGAAACCGGCTTCCATAACTAGTGGGGGTAATAAGATAGCAACTACCGCCGGTAGCACTGGAAAGAAGCAGAAAAAAGTTTTGTTGTTGCTTTCAGTGAAACTATTATTTCCTCGTTAGATTTACTAAAGATGTAGAAATAATGGATTTTTGTGTTGTACGTAGGATGACACGGCGAAAGGCTTCGGAAAAGGCGAAAAGCTCACCGGAAAAGGTGTCTCGACGATCTTCAAGGCGTGGTCGGAAATCGCCGACAGCAAGTCCCGAACGAGATGATGCATCAGGTAAAGAACAGCCAGACTGCCAGCGGGAAGCTGAGGAGCACAAATCGGACGATAGTGGCTCAGAGCAGGAGGAGGAGGAAGTGCGAAAAAGGAGTCGTGCTCGCAGGGGTACTAGAGCGAAGGCATCCGAAGAGAAGACGGCTTCTCGACCTAGAAGGAGTTCCAGACGTAAGTCGCAATCGGTTGAACCGTCTGATAAGGAAGAAAGCGAGAGAGAGGAAAATGGTGAACATGCAGGTGAAAAAGACACTGCTGTAATGGACACCATTCCGGAGGAGAAACCCGAAGAGGTTCAGGAAACGGTTGTTGCTGGAACGATAGAACCAGTGCCACTTGACGAACCGAAAGAGGAAAAAACTAAAGCTGATGCAGAGCCGGATATTGTAGACGAAAATAATCATGAAGACGAGGACCGTGAAGTGGAAACCGAGCCTAACAATCAAGCAGAAGTTGAACCTGAAGAACAACAAGAGGTTGAACGTACTAAAGCCGATATTTGTGAACAGTCTCGTGAGTCCGGTGAAGTGGATTCGGAGAGTGTTCAGGAAGATGAAAGTCAACAGGCACCTTCGAAGACAGAGGAACCCCCCAAAGAAGCTTCCCCTGAAAAGGAAGCTTCTGAGGAGGAATCCTCGTCAGAGAAAGATAATCGTAAATCAGAATCACCGAAACCAAAACCGAAACCGGTGCGCAAATCTCGTTTCCGATCACGTTCTAAGTCTCCTGTACGCATCGAGACGATCACCCACATCTTGGAAATAAAACAGAATGATGGTGATGATAAAAATGACGACGAATTGGAAGCTGGAGAAATTAAGGATGACGAAGTTCCGAAGCGCAGTCCTGAGAAACCCACTGAAGAAAAACCTTTACGAAGGCCATTGCAGCGAAAAAGACGCTGGTTATCGTCGAAAACAGACACGAAAGCGTCGGTTATAACAATTTCTACTGACTCATTGAAAAACATCATTTCCGAACCGGTCAAACCGGTTCCACTGTCGGACGTTAAGCTGGAATCCTCTCCAGAACCGGAGGAAATAGTTGACAGCAACGAAGAGCAAGCGCCCGGTGAACGACGCCGCTCCAAGGACAAGCTAGCAATCAAATCCTCCGAAAAAGAACACATCGAGGAATCGGATTATAAAGCGAAACCGTTGGACAAACTGCTGGGCAATCGTAAGATAAGCATTGTCAGTGATGATGGAAATACGGCGATAGCTAGACCCCCAAGTCCAGCGAAGCATCATTCCAGCAACATATTGTACATAACGAATCTGGTACGACCGTTCACGGTGCTGCAACTGAAAAGCTTGTTGGCTCGTACCGGTAAAATAGTTGAAAATGGCTTCTGGATCGATAAGATCAAGTCGAAGTGTTACGTAAAGTACGAAACGGAAGAGTAAGTATTCGCTACTGATGCATGTGATGCCTATTAGTATTATCGTTTAATAATTTAATTTTACTCAGTGAAGCGGTCGAAACCCGTCACGCACTACATGGCGTCCGGTGGCCGGCATCGAATCCTAAAAGTTTGCACGTCGATTTCGGAACTGAAACTGCCATGGAGAAGGCAATCATTTCGACGCTGGATGATGCCGGAACTACCCGAATTACGATCGACAATTCGAAGGACGCCAAGGACTTCGGATGGAGTCGGGATACAGTGAAGCAGGATGAGGTATAGGACCGCGGATGGAAGGTGACGTTGGGTTGTTTTAATTTTTAACATCTCTATGCTCTGTCTGCGCAGGTCCGACCGGTGCGTGAGTGGGATCTTGGAAAGAAGGATACCTTCGACCGCGAAGATCGCGATAGAGGAGCAGAAGGGGATAGGATTGGCCGCGATAGGGAACGAGAGCGTGAACGGGACCGCGACCGGGACAGGGAACGGGATCGCAGTGGTCGCGGCGACGAGGGACGCGGGGATCGTGGCAGACGGCGTTCGGCGGAGCGGGAATTTGGACGGGGAGACAGGGAGCGGAGACGTGGCAGTACCAGTGTATCACCAGGTGAGTTTTTGTTTTTTTTTTTTGCGAACATACGCATTTATTGAGTGAGTTTAGGGTTGCACTAATGAAACACTTTTCTGATCATTCTTACAGCGAGGAAGTTTAAGAAAAAGGAGAATGAACCTCCCATCAGACTGTTGGATGATCTTTTCAGGAAAACCAAAACGACACCTTGCATCTATTGGCTGCCGCTGACTGTTGAACAGGTAAGTTTCTATTAAGAAGTTGGAAATCAAAAGCTGGGGAGTTTTTATGACTTCTGGCCTTTACTTAAACCGAACTTGAATTTTTCTGGTTCATTTAAGTCATTTTCGTAACATTTCAAATGAATATAGGCTTCTTATTTCTAAATAAAATATAATATTAGTTTTAAGACGTGCGACCTTCAATGAGACAAACAGAATTCCATACGGTATGACTTATGAACCTGGACAATTTTGATTTCATAATGTATGACTGTATTCTACCACCTACATCGTACCAACCGATCGGAAACTCTCTTGTGCGTACCGTGTCTGTTTTGCGTATTACAACATTTCATTTTCTTCCTACAATTTTCAGATGGCTGCAAAGGAAGAGCAGCGTCGCAAGGATATGGCTGAGAATCAACGCCGGCAAGAGGAGGCACGCAAGCAAGAGGAAGAACGCCGCAAAGAGCGCGAACGACGTGATCGGGAGCGGCGCGAGCGACCCCGTTCGAACTCGCGTGATCATCGCCGTCGTTCGCGATCTCGGGACGATGGTCGGCGTCGGCACAGATAAACGTCCGACCGCCACCGCCGCGCAAGCGAAGCGAGTAAGAGAACCAACCAACTACTGCTGGTACTTACTCCTAAAAGGAAGTCAGATCAGAAAGATTCATCTAATTTATACCTAACCCAGCAGAGATCGTGAACGGATCAAGGATGTTGCCGATACGAGCGGTGAGAGAGACAGAGAGAAACATGTTTTGGGAGATCCCGTTCGTCATTTCATGTGACCAGCGACGAATCCGAATAGGGTCTGTGCAGAATGTTATTGTTTCATTTAACCTTTGCCTCTTACTCCCAGAATTTTAGCGTTTCCCGGTCCTTGATCCCAGTTTTTTTTTCTGGTTCTATGCTTCTTTTTATTTTGCAGTCAATTGAACATCTTTTTTTCATGCGAGTTTTTAAAGTTCGCTATCAGTTTTTAAATTCTATCTAGAGTTTAATGTGACTTCCAAAAATTATTGATTTTTAAGTTTATTGCAGGACGTTAGCCTTGAGGATGATTTTTTTCCAATGTAGCAAACAATTGTTTCGTTTTTGGAAGCAAAACAGTATTTGCTACGCATCGTCATTCTTATTAACTGAACCTATTTCACAATTTACTAATTACTTTTCTACGAAATAAGATACTTTTTATAATTTATGAAGAAATTATAAGTACATAGATAGGAATAGTACAGCCCGCGCAGTAATTTGAATAGTTCAGCAGTTCACCCAATCCCGGGACAGGAATCCGATTTGATAACTAGAGGAAACGGAGTTGCAGTTACACATTGACCGAGACAGCAAAACAAGACCCTTATCACCAACCCAGCACCAAAAATGACAGCTCAATAAGCAACCTTCTCTTCTGTATATTGTGTATTTCTATCAGAAGCTGAACTCACTCGAGAAGGCACGCACATATTCTCTGGGATACCCGTGGTACCTATTTCACTACTGCCACCGGTGAGCGATGTCCAATCTACTGAATCTGATCTGGGTCTATGTTCAAAATGAAGGCGAAATCAATTTGAGAGGAGAACGGAAGCTATCAGAAGCACATGCAACCATCATTCCAATCGAAACCATTCGTTGACGTTGGCGACTTTTTCCGCTAGATGGATACTGTTGATCGTGATCGTGTCACTAAAAACAACCAACAAACAACTTAAGAAGATTACTCGGAAACGATTGGAAACCAACGCTGGATCGGAATACAACTCAAACATCCACAAACATTAGCAGACGGTGACTAACTCATCACTCTTGAGCGCAAATCATCACTGGAACAAACTCGGAAATGTCTTCTGTCTCTGTGTAGTAAGACGCGTCGCTGTGCTGATGAAGTCGCCGCACATCGTCGGCATCATTGAACATCGTTGGAAGTTTCTTTTCGTGTGGATACTAAATGAATTAAACATAGACAACCTGAATGAATGCAAACTATAATTTGTAGTGAGTAAAATGTCATCTTTCTGTTTTTTGTAAAACCGTAAGCTTGAACACACAACACGTAGCGTTCTTGGCGGTGAGTGAAGTGTAGCGCACCGAAAGAGTTTTTTTTACGAATGAAAATTCGTCAATAAGTAATGCATAATCTAATCGTATTGAATACCATTTTGATTCCTACAGAGGATAAGAATAAAACACTAAAATTAGTAATCAATGCCAACTCGTTTGATATTATTCCGCTGAGAATGCATTATGTCTTCCTGGGAAGCAATATACCTACTCTTTAGTGCGAACGATCTTGGAATTCGGTGTAGTAGCGTGGTGTCAGTATCAAGTAGTTTGGATAGCGAGTATTAAAACAACCTTCAAGTGGTTTCACTCATACAACTTAACCGGTTGCTTCACCTCGGTAGTCCAGTTCATTGGGGCTATGGGAGCTCAAATCAATCCAAAGCCGAGGATAAGCGATTACACTGCACGGCGAATGAGAACGACCTAAATTTGAGTTTAGTTTACTCATAAACGCAGAAAGTGCAGGAACTCAGAGATGAGTAAATTTACCTTATGGTTTCCTGTGGAAAACCTCAAAAACTCCCGGAAAGTGAGGAAAATTTACGTAAATTTTACTCAGTCGAGTAGTAGTACCAATAGTGAATCCAATTTTTATATTACTCATATTCGGGATTTTTTTCCTGGAAAACGATGAGGAAAATTTACTCATCGCTGAGTTCCTGCACTTAATGTGATTTATGAGTAAACTAAACTCAAATTTGGGTCGGTCGCATTCCGAACGAGAAAAAAAAACATGGCGAATGAAAAAAAAAATTGATGAAAATTATTGCGCATTTTGCACCAAATTAGACTCCTGTGCAAAAAGTAATTGCACAGTAATAGTTTCGCACAGGCCAGACAATTTAAAAATCAACTTATTTGAAAGCAGTAACAGCTTTAGAACATTACTAGCAAGCTACACTGTTGAATTAAAGCTCTAGAAAACATTAAGAAGCTCAATATTTAACTTTTATGACCAGTGCGAAAATATTACTGTGTACTTATTTTTAGCGCAGGAGTCTAATCAGGTGTGAAATTCGCAATACCACTGATCTGTATAAACATTGTTTTTCTCAAAGATTTTTTCTTCCCGTGAATTCTTAAAGGCCACTCACATTAGATCCAGATCTGACACGTTGCGGCAAAGTGACAGCTAAATCTATTGTCTAAATGAATGTTGGAATGCTTAAATAAAACAGCAAAAAAAATGTTATCTTCCATTTAATTCCACTTAATAAATTTTGGTATCCATGACAGATACGTATTTCGACTACAATGTGCAGTCTTCATTAGTGTCATTCACACTAAAGAACTTATCAAAATCTAACCCTCTTAACCCAACAAACAATCGTCTATTGAAGAAACGACTTCTTGGCCATTTTATTCAACTGCATGCTTAATAGTACTTGTACTATTTTTAATAATAACTTCTGTTCAGGCTTTGTTCACACAAATCTGGAGAATTTATTCAACCTCAACATTGAACTGCTGGTGGTGTTATAAGGTATCTCGAGAAGCTTTTATTCGACTTATATGAGTTGTAACAGAGTTTATACGATAACATTTTTGATTATTCAGTGTTTATTAGACATCACTGCTTCTTTAAAACAGTGATGCTCTGTGTATACACTTGTTTATCATGTGAAGTAACGTTTAATTAGACATTATTATACATTTATTAAACGATTATTCAACTATGGGAAAATTAACCCGAAAATAAGAGGACAGGGGGACAGGGGACAGGGTGTTGTGTGTTTCTTAAGTGTATTGTATGTAATTCAATATTTCTCGCGTAACATTTGAAAAGGGCCTATGTCCAAAATGTAAACAATCCAGAAAATGAATTGTAAATTTTTCCGCCAGTATTTAATTCCTATATAAATAAATTGAAGTATTTTAGGCATTTATATTGTTCACAATAACAATAGTAACTATATCTCAGTACACAACATCCAAAACATGCGAAACGTTTTCAAAAATACATGAAAATCGATAAAAATTTAATATCACAGTAATAAGCCTTTTTGTGAATCCTTAAATGGTTAGGCCCTTTTTGTTAAGCCGTTGTGCTTGTCATCATAAATTATAGGCCCTTTGCTAAGCCTTTTCTTAACGTCAAATAAATCATCGGCCCTGCCTCAAGCAGTAGGGCCTAGCTTTGATTTGAAATTTTTCAATCATCGGCCCTTCTACGTCGCTAGGCTTATGAATGGAACCTCATCGAACGAAAAAAAAAATATATGTTAGGCCCGAGGTTAGGCCGTTTTAGCATGAATGATTGGAAAAATTTCGTGGATCGGCCGTTTTTAAAATCAAGTTATTTTTAATGATTTTTATCGATAATGCGGAACATTCCTATACGACTGGTAGCTAATTACCAGTGCTACAGAATGGTATCAAAAATCGGTTTGTTTACATTTTGATCATAGGCCCTTTTCAAATGTTACGCGAGATTTCTGACGTGGCTCGCACCACACAGATATTAGAAAATTTATTAAATACTTATACATGCCATTGTATGGGATTCGAACCATGTACCTTCCGATCACCAGCCGCTTGCCTTGTCATCTGAGCTATCCTAGAATTCATCATATGGGCAACTCAATAATCTATAAAAGCTTGCATGAAAGTAAATACCTATCAGCACTCCCGATCGCAACTCTAGCTTGAAGGAGGCCCTGTGGGAATAATTAATTCATTCGTCGTTGTTTTAAATGAGACCAATGTTGCCTCTTCACATCTCCAAGTCGAAAGAATGGATGCTCGGTTATATTTTAAACTAGATCAATGCTTTCATTATCGTGAGTCATGTGATCGATATTACTATTTAAATTAATTATGTTCTACACAAATAAAAAAAAAGGTTGAGCTTGGGATTGAACTCACGACCTTCTAATTGGAAAGCGGAAACGATAACCACTACTCTACTGATTTCGCCTTGTTGTAAGACTGAATCAGTGTTGTCGAATAATGAATCTTATACGTCGTTTATAAAGCATTTACAAATCATGTGATTACAACATGGACGCATAGTTGTATAAGAGCTATTATGCTGACTGTATTCACCTTTATTAAGCAATATTGTAAAGTAATGCAATGAAGTCTAATAAAGGAACTAGAGAACATTTATTAGACATCTAATAAAGCATGTTATTAAATCAATTGAAAACAGTCGAATTAAAGTGTCAATGTATGTACAAATTACACTTATTCAGTTTGTTATTAGATCGAACTTCTGGCGTTGAATTGGGAAGACATTTAACACTTTTACAGCTTTTAATAAGTAAATTAATCAGATCAGAGTGGAACAATGAGCTTTTTCAGCACATAATTCGACAACTCTTTTTATTCAGCATTGTACACTGTTATCAGGCATTTATTCAATATATATGCTTATTTGTGACTTTGAATTTTTTGTTGGGTGGTATAAGAGCTATTTTGCTGAGTGTATTCACCTTTATACAGCAATATTGTAAAACAATGCAAAGAAATCTAATAATGGAGCTAGAAAACATTTATAAGACGTTTAAAAAAGCATTTTATTCAATCAATTGAAAACAGTCGAATAAAAGCGACAATGTATGTGCAAATTACACTTATTCAGTTTGTTATTAGATCAACCTTCTGGTTCTGAATAAGGAAGACAGTCAACGTTTTTAAGGAAATTAATCGTATCAGAGCAAACGGCGGAATAAAAGCGCCTCTATCGATCTCAATGAGCTTTTTTCAGCACATAATTCGACATCCTGTTTTATTCAGCATTGTACACTATTATACAGCATTTATTCAATGTGTATGCTTATTTGTGACTTTGAATTGTTTGTTGGGAAGTACTCATCTCCTCCTTTGTTTGCTGTTTTATTTAAGCATTCCGCTAACAACCCAATTTCATTACTTCATTATGATGGCTACCAAGCCTTTGGGATTTTCCTTATTAGAGAGTTGTATAGATTTTTCTCCTTTAGTTTACTTAAATCTTTGGTTTTTATTAGTTAGGTAGGTTCCGATTCAACACATTGTAGTTTCATTTTTATACCTGTGATCTTGACTTTTTTTACCTCCGTACTGACACAAAGGTCGGTATAAAGGGAGAGAATGCAAACTTAGTATAAAAATGATTTATGCGTGCCATAGTATAAAATCGAAAATACGCACCTTTGAAATGTTGACACTGATTTGAATGTGGGCCGGAAACGTCTGCCATAGAAAATTTAAAGCAGTACGGTGGTTCCAGTGGTAGTGATAGCTATTAGCATAGAGATAACTCTAAGACAAGTAGGTCCCGAAGAAACGTGCTCAACTTTTTGGCTCACCTCTGAGCTAGGATACGCAAGCAACATCAACAGTGATGACCTTAAATACTCCAAACTGTTTTCCAAGAAACAACTCCAGCTGATCGCCAACGATACGTTCTCTACTGAAGCTAACGTACTCTGGTAAAGGTCTTCTCGTTGAATTGAAGTAGATAGGAAGGCCTCTCTGTTGACAGTTGTCGTACCTGCTATTGGAGAAGACGAAACATCATTTTTAGTTGGTCTTCCGACCAAGCAACATACATCGGAATGATAGTTATTTAAGGTTAACCGTTGTATGCATTTCTTTTATTTAAAAAAAAATCTCATCATTTTACTCTATAGTTTTTCAATACCAAATTATCATATAGGTCACGAAAAGGTACAAATAGGGCAAGGCATTGCAAGTTGATTAGTACATTATATAATTTATTTGTTTGTAAATAGCAACAGAACTGACCTTTACTAAGTGTTCCACCAGAGATTCCTGTGATCGTATCGCTGTTTCCGGTAGGTTGAGAATTTCCAGTAGTCTGCAGGCTCCCCAGTAAGTGTACGTGTTCCGGAATATAAATGTCTATTTTCCAGGCACTCCAGATGAATTCACAGATTTTTACTGTAAAACACTTTATTTCACGGATACTACATTTATTACACTCTACAATTAAACTTTTATTAACTCTATAGACTATACATTTATTCAACAACACTACAGATTAATAGGATGAGAAGTAATTGATCTTCCTAGTTTGCTGGTTGGATATGTTTACGATGTATTATTTGGATAACAGACTATACTTTTGAAGAATTTCTTATACATATTAAAATTTGAAGCAGTGGGACAGATATGCGTCCATTTTTGCAATGGGACAAAACGACTTCACATTTTTTTTTTAATTTTTTCTAGAATAAACAGCATGTTTTAATATAATATTTTAAAAATATGTATTGATTTATAACGTTAAGCATCATAACCTCAAATAAGTCAAAATGTTACATGGGACAGTTATGCTTCCACTGGCAGTTAGACCCTGAAACAAAAACCATTTTTTCTGCGTGATCAATACCAATTGGACAGTTACCTAATGTTCCCGTCTGTTGGCTGTTCGCAACTATTCAGAGCTGCAAACATATAGGTATTCCTGATGAATGTGGGCGTCTTAGTGGAATACCTGTATAATGAGATAGAGAAGGATTAGTATTTTCATTTAATTCCACTACTTTATTTGCTTATCCTTGACAGATACGCGTATTTCGTCTGCACATTGTAGACGAAATACGCGTATCTGTCAAGGATAAGCAAATAAAGTAGTGGAATTAAATGGAAAATACTAATCCTTCTCTCTCTCATTATATATAGGTATTTTTTGAGCAATCTAGCAAAAGTGACTCCTATGCTGGATTTTAATCAATCCCAACAAAATATATACCAACCCCGAATGAGCAAGGAAACTATATGGGAACTTTTCGCCACAGTTAACTGTTGCAAGAAGTTTCAAAATATTACAGCCTCCAAACAATTTTTTTACTCCAGAATCACCTTTTTTCCATCAATGCATAATAAGGCAGTTTTCTACGTTGTTTTATTGACAAGGCACGCACTGCCCATATAAGCATAACAGTCCATCCAGTTTGATTTTCTATTCATATGGGACAGAAATGCTTTTATGGGCAGCGAAAAAAAACCTCAATGTATTCACATTCAAGTCGCTTTAACGCTGATCAACTCACTTGAACCGTATATTTTCATCTACCATGTTAGAACTCCCATAGAACATATTGGACACATACCTCGACGTGCAACATTTTGAACTGGAGTCCTTTTTGATTGGGTCGTATGTAACAAATGTAAACAAATTGACATTTGAATGCTAAAAGACACTACTCTGTTTACTCTTAAGGCCCACGCACATTAGATCCGGATCGGACGCGTTTCGGCAAACTGACAGCTAAATCTATAGAGATTGCTGACGTTTGTCGTACGTAGTGTGCGTCACGTATACGTATACGCAAAATGTTTTCATCGGGAAAAAAAAACTTCATAGCGGAAAATTTTCCCGATGAATACAAATCACTTACACAATCATACTTTAGCAATCTCTATTGTCTAACTGTCAAATTTACGTCAACGCAACGCAAACGGATCTAATGTGGGTGGCCCTTTACTATAGGTAAAATTTGCTCCCGCTACCTCATTTCTGTTTCATTTTATCGTCAAAAAACTATTCGTCGTATGTGCCAACTGACCAAAACATAGCTCAATTTTACATACGACACCTAACTTCTATGGGGGTGTCAATCGTCGTTTGTAACAAATCTGCCAGAAGCGTAAAAACTGTACATAAGACCTGTTCTTTTTTCCTAATAAAAGTGCAAATTTTGCAAATATTCAATGTTTAACGGTTGTGGGTGGTCTATAAAAAGATAACTACGTTTTTTGTGAGTAATTACTCATAATAATACATTTTTAAGCCGCTAAAAAGCGCACGGTCGAATGTAAAAACGGATATGCAAAAGGTCGTATAATATTGATTGGTTAAAAAACGTTTGATTTTCAACAGAAACGCTATCAATACCTTACTCAGTTGATAGCAACACTCCTGAGATGTTAGTTAATGGGAATTTTGAAAGAATTATCCTTCTCATTGAAAATAGAAACAATTTTTTGTTCACCAAAACAAAACACCCCGGCTCTCTAATTGACATAAATGTTACATACGACCCAATCAAAAAGGACTCCAGAAATCTGCATCATTATGACCGTTTTTCATGATGGCCGCGAAGGTCCACGTTTTTTTAGGGGTAAAAATTTAACAATCAACAAATTTATGTATATTTAAAAAAAATCTACTAAAGACTACAGATTAATTTTGAATTTAGTTATCAGCACTGGTTTATTAGCAATAATATTAAGAAATCCAAATGAGAACAAGTTATCTGCAACAATTCAAATTATTATTTAGCATGTAGAGACGTTAGCATATGTTACTCACATATGGCTGTGCGCGGCTAAAAAGTACCATCAATGACAGTTGCGGCAGTTTGGGTGGCATTTTTTCCCATTGACATTACAGCGACAACCCCCACTGTTATCGCCCTGACCGAGTGGGCCCCAACGAGGGCCCCGTGTAACCCAGCACACGGCGGTCTTGCACATACTGCAGATTATGAAGTCACATCCGGTGATCTTCGCGAGGAGCACGTTGCACTTCGGACAACGCATTGCCTCACCAGAAGCTAACATGTTTTCCATTGCCCGTTCCGAGCGACGAGTTTCGTAATTACCGCTCAGCCTATCCTGGTAATCCTCGCAGCTCATATCGGCATGTAAGGCCTGTTCAGAGATGTGTAATCTTTAGGATACAGACAATCAATTACAAATGCTACCTACCTTGCATCTCAAACAATTCTGCGCATAGCAAACGGGACAAGAGAACAAACTGACATTGTCCTCAACCATACACCATCCGGTGCAATCCGGTGTCTTGCAGTGGAAGGCATTCTCCGCCAAACTCTCGGCTTTCTTCAGCGATCGTCCCAAATGCGCGTTGTAATCTTCGACGGTTAGCAGACACTTGATCTCTCGGTCTTGAATTATGGTTTCACAGGAATTATTATTATCCTTGTATGGGCATTGTACGACTACGTCCTCGGCGTGTTTAATAGAACTGCTGAGGCATTCACGGCAAAAGGTATGGAAACAGTCACGTAGAATCACCCCCTCGTAAGCCTCGTACGGTACGAAACAAATCGGACATTCAAACGGTTCCGGATTTGGAACAACACTAGCATCAGTCAGTGTCATCAGCAAATCCAGTTCTTTTGGTCCTGCTGCTGAAGCAGTGTTCAACACTTGCTTCTTCAACGAGTCGTCCTTGATCGTTGCGAATTGACGTTCCATCAAATCGCGGTACTCTTGCTGACTCAACAATGCATCGAGTTCCCGCTCTTCCAGATTTCCTTCACACTCATACCGACCATTGGGAAAAGGACAACGAGCCGTATTGGCTTCAAGGAGAAACGCCTTGAGACATACGGTACAGAAGGTATGTAAACAATTTACCAGCACCACTCCCATTCCGGCAGATGTCATCTTACTGCAAAGGTGGCAAAGGCATGATTCGCTATTGTGGACCAATGCCTGCTTTTCCAACTCTAACAGCTGCTGGTACTGAGTGCCAGCGCTACTGTTAGAGGAACTGCTCAGGATTAGTCCATGTTTTGATTTCTGAAAAATTATGTTTTTTGTGGTATAAATTTCTTACTACGTCAATACAACTTACTGTTTTCGCTGTTAGCGATGCCATGCTGTAGCAGTTTTTGAAGATTATGTCATACGTTGATGAAAAACTTAAAAAAACACAATTTTTTATTGCTACGTCAAATTCACAACCAGAGAAGAAAAAAAACATCGATGATCACTTCGATTGTGATTACTGATTGCGCTACACGCTAACTTGAAAGTACTCATTAATGAGTAAAAAAAGACCCATTTTGAAGAAAAGTGGCTTAACTCATTAATGATTAAACAATTTTACCCATTAATGAGTATCTGTTACCCATTAATGATTAACAATTACTCATTAATGGGTAACAGATACTCATTAATGGGTAAAAAATTTACTCATTTAATGAGTTAAGCCACTTTTCTTCAAAATGGGTCTTTTTCAACCATTAATGGGTACTTTCAAGTTAGCGTGTAGAGATTGCTAAAGTGTGATAGTGTCAGTGATATGTTTTCATCAGGAAATTTTTTCGACGTTTAATCGGCGCACACTAATGCATCATTTAAATGAAAGGAGTGCGAGCAAGAGGGAAACAGATTAGTGGGAAAACAAACCATTAATTTCTCTATCTAGTACACAGGGAAGAATTATTCTTCCCTGTGTACTAGATAGAGAAAGACTATTAAACATCAAAAAGGTCTATAGCGAAGTTTTTTTTTCCTGATGAAAACATTTTGCGTATACGTATACGTGACGTAGTGTGAGTACGATAAACGTCAGCAACTCAAAATTGAGTCGAACATGCTTATTAATTTCAGCGGGAAGTATACACCGAAAATAGTTTTCATGTAGTTTCCATTGCATGGAAACGCAAATGATTTTCATCCATAAACAAAATTAATGGAATTACTCGCCTAACTTTTCAAAAGGTCCTAAGTAACAAATGTAAACAAATCGAGTTTATAAATGCACATTGTAACATTTGTATCTAAGAACATTATGCACACACAAACATTCAGATTAATGTCAATGGAATTGAGAAAATTCTAAATTAACAAAACGTCTGAAGTCAAAATTTTCATTAACGATGTTTCAATGTTACATAAGACGTTTGACTATGTTCATCAAGACAAACGTCTGAAGTATCAGAAAGACCAAAACAGTGCAGATCTGTTTATACGAGTAAAACGTCTAAGATGTTCAAACAAACCAAAACAATGTGATTGTGCACATCGGAATTTTATGTCAAGCATTTTTCTACTATTTCCGCGGGGGGGGGGGGTAGGTGGGGGGTTGACAATTATCCACGGCCCATACAAGTTTTAAAAATTTTATATGGACAATTGTCTACGCATGGGGAGGGGGGGGGGTCAAGCATACCGAAAAGCTGTCTACGTAGTGAACAGCCCCTAAAATAACACTGTTATCAAATAAAAAGCAGCTCACGCGACCACCAACGATCGACCAAAACAATCTGTGGGCAGTGTTGCGATATACCCACAGACAAACAGACATAACACTCGCAAATTGTTCATCGAACAAGCATTTAACGGTCAATTTAAAAGTATCGTAGTTGGTAGTACCATAGAGGTAACTCTAAGACCACTGGGTCCCGAAGAAAATCATTATTATTTTTGGCTCACTCAGTACCAGAACAACGGTCCCAAGCAGTCCAAAAGCTATTTCACTCACCCCTGCATGTTCTGCATGAATCCACACACCCCTGATGTTATCTGTCAAACTTTCATAGCGAATCAAAACAAACATAGTGTAGTAATAGAATTTCAACTAGAATAGGGTACGTTAATCGTTTGCTTGGGACCAATAGGCTACTAAAGTGGTGAGCCAATTTAAAATCGTTAGTTTCGTATTGATTGTTGGTAGTACCACCACCTGTGGCGCGCATAGTCAATTCCCTTGGGTTTGACGTTTACACACTACCGCCATCTGTTCAGCGTACTACCAACAATCAATACGAAACTAACGATTTTAAATTGGCTCACCACTTTAGTAGCCTATTGGTCCCAAGCAAACGATTAACGTACCCTATTCTAGTTGAAATTCTATTACTACACTATGTTTGTTTTGATTCGCTATGAAAGTTTGACAGATAACATCAGGGGTGTGTGGATTCATGCAGAACATGCAGGGGTGAGTGAAATAGCTTGGGACTGCTTGGGACCGTTGTTCTGGTACTGAGTGAGCCAAAAATAATAATGATTTTCTTCGGGACCCAGTGGTCTTAGAGTTACCTCTATGGTACTACCCACCACAGTCTACTCAACAGATGGCGGTAATGTTTTAGCGACGATGTTTTACAGTGAGAAATATTCAATGTGTTATGTCTGTTTGTCTGTGATATACCGTTAAAAAAAAAAAGTTGATGCATTGTCCAATACTCATATTGTTCGTTTAGCTCGTATAACTTAAATTATGCACTCATAATGCTTAAAAACAAACAAAAAATAATGTTCAAAGCATAAATGACCTATGTAACTGTGATTATAACAAAACGTCCTAACATGTCCAATGTACACCTGACAAGAGCAAAATGTCCTATGTAACATTTTTCACGTTTTAATAGAAAAAAATGTATGAAACGGGTAGATTATAATTTCAATTTCAATTTTACTATCGCATTTTACTATTAAAGGTCTTAAAAATGTCAAAAGTTGATTTGGTTTTAAATAGTATCAAAGAAGATTTTGTCAATCTTCAACCTCGTTTTTCTCGAAAAGAGTGAAATGTTAGATAGGACCTTTTGAAAAGTTAGGCGAGAATTTTCTCAATTCAATTGACATTAATCTGAATGTGTGTGTGTGCATAATGTTCTTAGATACAAATGTTACAATGTGCATTTATAAACTTGATTTGTTTACATTTGTTACTTAGGACCTTTTGAAAAGTTAGGCGAGATTTAACTGGAGCTGAAGACGACTGAAAACCGTCTCCGCATGCAACTCCTATACTTACATTAATACATTTCGGCCGTTGTTATACAATAATTTCGCAGTTTCTTAGAGCGTTTGCCTCGGCGTTTGCACCGACACAACTGGCATTTTTTAAGTCCCAGATTTGGCTGATTGAGTATGGCTTTTACTCAATTTAACATTTCTCGTTTACTCAGATTTTGACAACAATGCTTAGACGAAATGGACGAAATTGAGCTTTCTGACGTTTATCACACGCACACTTGCGTAACCCGCATAAACGCGAACCATAAATTGACCTTACCTAAAATGGTTAAAAATTGTTTATAATCCCTGCTAAACTTTAACTGAAATGGTTATGGAACTTTACATGAACGTTTAATGATAAAGTTTCAACCTTATGTATTATGGTTTTTTGGAACTGGACCTTACAAATAATGGGTTGTTAAGAACCATTACCGTTCCAAATTCTTGTTTTCTGCATACATTTTCGGAAAGAGAACTATATTAGAACCTTTTAACTTATGGTTTGAGAACTTTAATGGTAATGGTTATGGTAGTCAGTAAGGTCCACGAATGGTTTTGAAACATCGATCAACTTTATGTGGAATATATCGCGAATTGGTTGCCTGCATGGTGGGTATATAAATGGTGATACAGCTTTGTCACTATATAGGCGAGGAGGTCGCGGGGGGGAAAAGTGCGGTTTTAGAGCAAATTGTAAACAAACTCGGTCGCTGTCCCATACAAAAATCCAACATGGCTGAATCTTGAATTTGACACATTAGAACACCTATATGTAGTCACCTTGGTTGCCTGTAATTTACTGATTACCAATTCACGATATATTCCACGTAAAGTTGAGCGATAATACAAAACCATTAATGGACTTTACTGACTACCATAACCATTACCATTAATGTTCTCAAATCATAAGTAAAAACGTTCTTATATAGTTCTCTTTCTGAAAATGTATGGAGAAAACAAGAATTTGGAATGGTAATGGTTCTTAACAACCCATTATTTGTAAGGTCCAGTTCCAAAAAAACCATAATAAATAAGGTTGAAACTTTATCATTAAACGTTCATGTAAAGTTCCATAACCATTTCAGTAAAAGTTTGGCAGGGATTATAAACCATTTTTAACCATTTTAGGTAAGGTCAATTCAGTGTCAACATTTCAAAGGGGCGTAATTGCATTTGTAAACAATGGATTTAGCCGTCGATTTCTCGCGAATAAAAGCTCACTCATGAAAAATAATGACACCAGCAGGTAGAGGAATGTCTCCTCTACCAGCTAGCATTGTTATTTCGGAGAGGTAAGATTTCATTCACGAGAAATTGACGGCTAAAGTCATTGTTTACAAAAGCAATTGCGCCCCTTTGAAATGTTGGCACTGAATTTATGGTTCGCGATTATGCGGGAATCCCCTTTTCAAGTGTGAGCTTTGTTATCCTCACGGAGATCAAAAACGACCCAAAATTAAGTACTTTTCCCTCAATTCCGGGGTTTAGCCCAAAAAACGTTAATAAATATTGTTAGAAGGGGCCCTGCACAGCAAAAAAAGTTGTTGAATATTACATCGAAACTGCTGCAACCAGGTCAATCCATCGGTTGTGTAATATCACATTGTACGATGTACATCGATTTTGCGAACAAAATTACAGCCATTGATGTAATATTGTATCTGCTTTTTGCTTTTACATCATTATTTCATACATCAGCTTGAATTACGTTGATCGATATTACATTTTTTTTTGCTGTGTGGTCAGCCGTACGACGCAACTTAGTCGCGATGCTCTCACAAGAGCGCTGCACAGCACTGAAATCATTCTCATTTTTTATTGAACACCCGTTACTAACGGTGTTAGAGAACTCAATTGACCAATTAGGTTTTGCACCATCGGGGTTAACCTCAATCTGATGACAGTTTAGTGGTACTGTTTACGTGGACTTAGTCGATTTTTTCTTGGGTGGATTTTCTCGATAATTTTTCAGACTGCAGTGAGATGTAAACCACATTTCTGCTATGTTCACGAGCAACATCCTTGCAATGCGCTGTTCCTCGACAATTTTCAAGTTAAAATTCGGAAATTTTAAAATTTTTTTTTTCGAAAAAACGACTAAGTGCTTGTAAACAGTACCACTGAACTGTCAAAAAGGTTCAGCCGATTAACACTGAGTTCATTCGTGACGTCACGCTGCAGAACCTAATGCACGGAATGAACTGCATGAACAAATTTGACGTTTGAGCGGTGCCGTGTTTACTAAAAATGAACACATGATGTAATGCTCGCGTAACTTTAGAAAAGATCCTATCAACTTTTATAAACAAATTGTTAGGCCCTTTCCTCGCGAACCGAAGAACATCCACGCAAACCAAACCACTATTCAGTAGGGGAGAACTCATCCTACCCGATGGTGTTGTTGGTTTGCATGAGCGTACTTCGGTTCGCGGGAAAAATGCCTAACAAATTTTGTGTACACAAATCAAACTTCAAATTTCAAACGTCAAATTTGTTCATGCAGTTCATTCCGTGCATTGGTCAATAAAAAACTTTCACAAATTTCAAAAGGAGCCTACTCATAAAATGTGTAAACCGAGGAATAAACTATGCGTTTATGTAGAAGCCCAGCAAACGTCAATTCAGTGCCAACATTTCAAAGGAGCGTAATTGTGTTTGTAAACAATGGCTTTAGCTGTCGATTTCTCGCAAATAAAAGCTCGCATTTTCATTAGTTTAAATTTTTTATTATTTAATGATAGGCGGCCCATGCAGCATTGAAAAAATGGGTACTTTTTACTCAAGTGTAGAAAAAAAAACAAAATACCTATTTTTATATTCAAAATGGGTCTTATGTACTCATTAATGGGACTTTAAACTTGGCGTGAAATGAAGTGAAATATTTCACTCCTTATTGACGGTTCAGCCATCATCGTCATCAATGACTGTTTACTTTTCATCAAATTAAACTTTTGTCAACCACCTCGCGGCGCAGTGACCAGTGACGAATTAGTCATCGTGTGTTTCTTGTCGGGAAAGGATTCAAGTAGTGTTGTCTGCCGCTTGCCTTTATAAAACAAGATCCATTGCCACTAACGCCAGAGTGCTCGCATCCGTCGAGAATAGTGTGTAGATTAACAGTGCATGCACCTGAGCCGTATTGTCAGAATGGTGATCCGACACAATGCCAGTGGCTGGGATGAGTTCATCAAGCTGGCCGAAAGTCTCGAAGGAAAGGGTGAACCGGTGCACGTCCTGTTCAAGGGCGACAAGGATGAGAAGGGAGACAGCTGGTGTCCGTACTGCGTGAAAGGTCGGTTTAGCTCATTATCATTACTTACTGAAAGATTTAGAAAGCAATTACAGACGCTGTGTCATGCTTTGCTAATTATATAATTAGGAGGGCAAATTTAATCATCAAAGAATATTCTGTTGGTTCAGAATTAAAAAAAAAACATTGATACATCCGCTTGCATTACGCTCGGGGTTTCCAATACTCTACGGATGAAGATAAATTACAACCTCGTGTGATAAGATAAGGCGGCTTCGATAAAATGACTCGTTGTATTATTGGTCCCTTAATGCATATTAACGATTTTTGCATGCCTTAGTTACTCCCATTATCGTCCGGATTCCCCACGTGTAGGTACATAAACTGTAATTAACGAAATAGCATTTTTGTCTCTCTCATTTTCTAGCGGCACCAGTTGTGGAGGAAGCTTTGAAGATTGCCCCAGAGAATAGCTATTTCATTACCGTCGTAATCGATCGTCCGTTGTAAGTATTATAGTTTTGACTATTCATTAACGTCTCGACAACACAATATAGGAGATTTTTCGAAGAAATTTCATTTATTCTGCTAATCTAACTTGACCCATTTTCCGAGTTTTATCGGACATCGCGCAGAACGATGAAATTCGTTTTCCGAGAAAGATAAGAACGAGTGACACAGCAGGATTTTATATCTATACACCTGAAGTGTTCTTGACCTACCTATTTGAATCGTCATCATGAGCTTTTGATAACGTTGTATTACCCTATGTTTTCAGCTGGAGGGATCTGAACAATCCATTCCGCAAGGATCACCGAACGCATCTGGTGTTCTTGCCCACGTTGCTCCGATGGAAGTCGCCCCAGCGCCTGGATGGCGACCAAGTTTCCAATAAGGATTTGGTCGAGATGCTTCTTTCCGATGAGGATTAAAAGGTATCCTCGGTAACCTCAACGAACACGAGTCTCTTCAGATTTTAAGTGGAAAAGTGTTGCACAAGTGTGGCTAATAATACACCGGTGTCATTTCTCTTTTTGCTATCATATAGATAGTGTAATAAACGGTCACAGGCTTCTATTTTTCATCACCGAAGTTTACTACTGTTCTATTGTTAATAAGTATTCTAAGTATCACCTCCTTCTTCAAGTGGTCTAGTAATTACTCTTATATTTTTTGATTTCGATCATAATTACGTGAATGTTGACCAGCTGGGCACGAGCGCTGGGGGTAAGTAGCTTGTAAAACTTGTGATAATACTGCACCAACTGTGCCAGTGCTAGTTGCAGCAGTTGCGATCCGGTCACCAGCGATGGGAATGATAGGAAAACCTCGCGATTCAGTTCTTCCAGGGACTTTTTCCAGTTGGTCGAAAAATTTGCCACTAACTGCAGCGATCGTCGCTCCTGACGCTTGAACTCCTCGGTTTGTTCCTTTTCGAGCATTTGCTCACAGTCCTTGACGTATTGGATGATACCTCCCAGATGGGGGGCCAAAATTTCCTCAACATATTCGGAACTGCGAGTGCTCAGCAACTCGCGGAATGCTTCAGCCTCTTTCGAGTTGTCCCGGGTGCGTTCCATCAGGACGCCCAGCACCAGATCGTAGTTGTTGATCAGGTAGATTAGTTGTTCCTTACGGGTCGTGAAAATCGCTGCCATACGAAGCATAAAGCATTTGACTTCCTCTTGCAATTCCAACAACAGATGACTAACCAGCTCGTTGGGGAAGTTTTCCGAGATTCCGACGATGGCAGCGGAAAATTCGGCATACCGTCGAGTAATCTACGAGACACTCCAGGTTAAATTGCGGAAATTTCCGTAGCAGCAACGATACTTACATAGTGCGGTCCAGTTTCCTTGGGGAATTTAGTAGGATCACATTCTTGGATGCTTTGAATGTTCATCCGAAAGACCTGCTCGAAGCGGGGCCAGATGACTGCCTGTAGATTGTCCCAGTACCTGGGGAATAAACGATCGATGTAGTTCCAAGTTTAAGCACAGAGAACAGACGTTGAAGCTCGAACAACATTTCCGTAAAAACTAGTGCAAAGATTCATATTCGACTTAAGTGCCACCAACGCCGACTTCCCTTCTTAAAAACCTTTGACAACATGATGCCGAACATACACTAGAAAGTGGAAACTTTATAGAGGAAATCAGTAGATGCTAGCGACACGTAACGGCGATGTTCCCACTTATCTTCACACAAGTTTCTGGCGGAAGTTGTACGTATGTTATCTGTGGTTTAAGATTCAAAGGCATTTTGAATGTCATACTTATCTAAAGCTGGAACGCAACGTTTGTGACACATCAGCTGGTACCGCAAGCTGAGCTGTATACACAGGAACAGTGCAATGGTGTCATAACAATCCTGAACGTACGTCTCGAGATTTTTCTGAAATGAGTTTATCATATAAATTATAAATGCACATAATACTGCTATTCAGCCATTACACCAAAATGGTAAATGATATTCGGTCATTTCCCGCATTTCCCACCTAACAAGTCAAGCTGAACACTGCATTAGGTTCTAAGTGACATTGATCGATTCTCTTCGTCGATTTGTTGTATTTCCGGAGAACTTTAAGATTTGGGCGTAATTGCTTTTGTAAACAAACATGTCAATCACTGATTTCTCGCGAATAAAAGAACAATCTCGTGAACAAACTACACACTTAGATTTTTTTGCCTAGATTGGCACCACCGAGCAGGCTCGGCATTTATTTTTACTGATATCTCAGCAAAATTTATGTTTGTTAGCCGAGATTTCGGCAAAATTCCCGTTTGTTAACTGAATCTCGGCAAATTTTTCACTGAGATCCAGCAAAATAGATTGCCGAGCTGCTCGGTGCTGCCCATCTCTGCAAAAAAAAATCTAAGTGTGTATACCAAATGATAGAGGAACCATTTATCTACCTGTTTGTGTAGTTAGTTTTGGAGATTGAGCTTTAATTCGCGAGAAATCGTCAAATGAAGTGTTTGTTTACAAAAGCAATTACGCCCTAATCTCGAAGTTCTCCGGATTTGTCGTATTCGATACTAGATAAAAACTTCTTTTATCGATCTGTGTGCACAAAAAAACTGGGAACGTTCTACAGCTCGCCAGCCTCATCCGTGTTGAACACCCTAAAGGGCCACCCACATTAGGGTACGGCCAGGGTAGACGCGATTCGCGACGCGACGCGACCAATTCAAAAGAATCTTATTATTTATTATTATTCCTTGCGTGAGTCGCGTCGCGTGTCGCGTCTACCCTGGCCGTGGCCTTAGATCCGTTCGCGTTGCGTTGACGTAAATTTGACAGTTAGACAATAGATTTAGCTGTCACTTTGCCGCAACGCGTCCGATCCGGATCTAATGTGCGCGGGGGCCTTAATAGCTCAGCATTACGCAACTATCACGTCGATTCACGCGATGTACATCGATTTTGCGAACTAAATTACATCCATTGATATAATATTGTATCTGCTTTTTGCTATTACATCTTTATTTCATACATCAGCTTGATTTACGTTGATCGATATTACATTTTTTTGCTGTGTAGTCTGGCGGATAGAATCTCGGGAACCAATTGAGCTGTCAAATAGCGGAACCAATCGAGCAAATCACGACCAACAACAGAAAAGAGCACATCAGCAATTGCGAACAAAACTTCGGAAACCCTTTTCACGTGACTCAAGGCTCGCCTACGCAAACTAACACCAAACTTATTATTATTTTTTTTTTTCATTTTGTTTATTTGGCAGGCTCAAATGTTAAAAAAATAACTTAGCGGAGCCGAGTAACATGGAATACCAATTTTGGTACTCAAAATACAAACAAAAGATATACAAATGCATATTATTAAAGGATTTTCCTTGGTGGCGATCGACGCGGCGACAAAGGGATCTTCTCCCGTGCACGCAACTTCTTTCTTTCCCGAATTTGTTCCTCATTTTCGTTGAACCCGAAACGTGATCGTTGCTGCTGCCAGGCATGGAAAATCATTTACATTCATTTAATGCAAATGCACGAAATGAATGCAAATGATTTTCCATGCCTGGCTGCTGCATCTGAACATCGTTTCCCGTTGCATGCTCTCCGCTACTCTCGTCGGTCGTCGGGGTCGTCTCGTTCATTTCGTTATCTTCATTCAACATCTCCAACCCCGTGTCCGTTTCCTGGTCGCTAATGACAAACGACGCACCTGCCACCACTACACCAGCATACGTACTGCTGCTGTTTTGTTTTCTTTCACTTTGCTTTCCTTTTTCCTTTAGTTGCTTCTCCGGTTCCTTCCGAGCCTTCCGCTTGGGACAGGAAAGCTTCCGGTGTCCGTCCGCCTTGCACAGAAAACATTTATCTTTGTTGCCATCATAAAATATATTTCCTTTGCGGTTGAAGAAATACAATGACGTGGGGATTTCCTTCTTCACATCCATATATATATACCGCGTATCCCTGTATAAACCTCAAAGCACAGATCAGATGGAAATTTCTCCCGGATGATACGTTTAATTTTTCCATATTTCCCCAGCACTTTATCCAGCTCGTTGTCCGGTACCTCTGGTGGCAAGTCATACACACGCACATACTGGATAAATTCACCAGCATGCGACATGCGTACCTTTGCCGTCGTTCCATTCGCATAATGGAAGATTAAATCCTCCGAATTGTATGTCAGAGCATGGAGCATCGCTTCCTCTGATTTGAACTTTATGAAGACTCCCCTTTTCTCACCAATGCGATAAACAGCTTCCATTTCAGCCGGATCCGCGTCGAGTGCTTTGGCGAAATTTACAATCTCTCCGATGTTTGGTTTAGCATCATAATGGCTGAAGCTAAACTTGATGGTGTTTTTTACTTCACACATCTTGCACCGTAGCAACAAAAGGCACAAACTGATAGCAACGAACAAAGAGCAACTATATAATAGCGAGCCTCAAAAACAGGCTATCGCGTGGTTCACACCGAAATAAAAATTCGACTGCTGCTGTAGACAGCTGTGGGACAACTGACACCAAACTTAGGTTGAGGAAAGTTTCCGCTATCCGATGGTGCCGGTAATTTGCGTTCGATTGGCGAGGAAAGAATAATCAACGTTTTGTTTATAAAAGTTTATAGTTCCCCTTTCAATTGTTGATCTATAATATATTGAATTGGTTCCGCTTTTTGATCGATCGAAATTCTATCCGCCAGACTATGAATATAGCGACTATACTTAATGGATCAAGGGGTTTTCCCTTCTTTAAAAATATGAGAAAAGAAAATAATTAATTCTTTGGATATACGATAAAGAAGGGAATATTCTCTTCTTTCAATATAGGGGAAATGGCTCTAATGTTGGCTTATGCATCTAAGATTGGGCCCATTGCTAAAAATCTGCTATTTATCAATTCTAGATAGAGCTGGAATTAGGGCGTAACAGCTTTTGTAAACAATGACTTCTCTCGATGATTTCTCGGAAGTCATTGCTCTCCCTGGCAAATCGACACCACCATCGAGTAGAGGAAGACTTCTCCTACCTGATGGATATGTTGGTTTGTGTAGGCGTGCCTTGAATTTCGAGAAATCAACAAGACAAGTCATTGTTTACAAAGGCTGTTACGCCCTAATTCCAGCTCTATCTAGAATTGTATCTAGATGAACGCGTCATTGGGACGGTACTAATGGATATTTTTGGTTGCTATTGAAAATTTAGTCGATTGCTGAATTTATGTATGGGCCCAAATTAGGGACACTTAGGCCGACATTAAATACATTTCCCCTATAAGGAAAATATATAATCAATAGGTTTTCGCAAGGAATTCGGGGTAATGACCATTTGGGATAATAACGTGTGGAATAATGCTATAAATTTGTAATCGGTAGTAAAACGTTCCATGCACCGATTTTTTAATCCATCATGAGAAATTCTTTAACTCTGGTCAAACAATTCTTTGATAAGGTTTAACAGTTTCCGACTGCTTGAATTGGATTGCATATAGACCCTTTGACTTTTTAAATGATGAACGAAGTGCTCGAAAACTTGAAGGTTGTCATTTTCTAAAGAGTTATAAAATGGTTTGGAATTGATAAATACATAGTTCCATAAAAGTAAACGTAGTGTATCATCAATAGTAAAAAAAAAGAACTGAAAATTACTAATTTCATCATCTTTTCTGGGGAATGGTGCATTCTGGATAATGTTCTTGATTCGCCGAATATTGATACCGAGCACGTAATCCTACGTCAAATCTACGGTCGTGTCTTGGACACAAAACCATAGAGGTAACTCTAAGACCAGAAGGTCCCGAAGAAACGAGCTCAACTTTTTGGCTCAGCTCTGGTACTATCTTCGGTCCCAAGCTAATCGATGCACCCCTCGAATCATATGAAAATCAACGAACCCCTCATTTTATCTGTCAAACTTTCATAGCGAATCAAAACAAACATAGTGTAGTACTGGAATTTATACTAGAATGGGGTACGTTAATCGATTTGCTTGGGACCAATAGGCTAGTCAAGTAGTGAGCCAATTTAAAATCGATAGTTTCGTATTGATTGTTGATACAACCTCTTACTTTTTTTTTTGTTTAATAATTTATTTGATAAGACTCAACCGAATTAGCTTTACAGAACCGAGGATTCTTGTTCATTATACAATACATCTTAAAACTACAGTCAAAAGGTACAACACAATAAACATTTTATCTTCCGCTATCCAAAAAGCCTCGCAAAAAGCCTTCTTTATCAGAACGGAAGCCGCTTCCAGTGGTTTCATTGTATGGCAGATTCGCCAACGGGGTTCAGAGCACTTCCACGCAAAATGTGGTCAGTACTCACACATTCATCACGAAACGGAGCGGCGCCGGTGGTGTAGTGGTAAGTGTGATTACCTCTCACCCCAGCAGGCCTGGGTTCAATCCCAGTCAGCGTCGCCGGGATGTTCTGAGGCATAACATCTGTGATCACGCCTTCGGAAGGGAAGTAAAGCCGTTGGTCCCCGGCTCATGAGTTGATGAGTCGATAGGTAGGGTCCAGGTGTGGGAGCTGCCTCCCTGGCGTCGGTAGCATTGGTGCTCAGCACGGAAAACAAGATCGACGGAAAACAAATCAAAGAAAAAAAAAATCACGAAACGGTTGCTTTCCAAAGTCGACGACGCATCGACTGAAAGATCTGCTGATGAAGAACAATGAGGACCACACATTGGTTGCTGCCGAGTAAACAGACAATTGCGTGACACACATTGAGAGTGGTCTGCTTCTATCGACAGCCGAGTGAACACTGATGTCTCTTACCGGTCTTACCAGGGATGTAAACCGTTGACATTTTTTACTACACTCGCTTCGTTGTCGTGCGCGACAGTCTGTTTGTATTCGTACTCTCATGCTCTACCGTCGTCTCTCTTACACAACACAAACGGTAGAACAAAAAGAAAAATTTCAAATAACTATCATATATGACATGTGTGATTTCGTTATAATTCCTCAATTTGGTATAAATTAAACCATTTCTGATCAGAAATGTTATTACTAGGACACTATTGGCTATTTTCAAAATTCACACAAGCACAACATCAGCAGCTCTTGTTATGAGAAAAACTAGCTGTATATACATTTGCGACGGTCTTCGGCGACAGTGTCGTATGACATTTTAGTAATTTGATAGCTTGTTTTGCAACTGTTTCAAGCAAAGGCAGTCGATTATCACAAAAAATATGTCGACTACGGTGGCCGCTTACAAGGCTGTCTCTTACTTTTTTTTTTATTTAGATAGAAATAATTTCAAGCCGAACAATGCATTAGGTCCTAAGTAACATTGGTCAATTTTCTTCATATACTTTCTCTTTCGTTCATAACTTGGCTAAAAAAACGTTTTTTGTCGTACCCGATGCTAGATAATAGTTTCTTCCTGCGAACTGTGTTTTGGAAATAGTTTAAAACGTCTTTTAATGGTCATGGGGAACGATTGAGCCTTCCAAATAAACAAACTAGATAAAAAAAATATGGCCGATGGAATGCAAAGAGAAAATCGACGAAGAGAATCTGTCATTTTTACTTAGGACCTAATTCAATGTTCGACATGATTTTGTCAAAAATAGATCAGACACGAACCAGCTCATTAATTTTGCATGCGTTATCGTAACTTACCTAAAATCAAAGACATCATATCAAGAAGACTGGCAACTTTGCCAGAATTCAAGCGACAGATACAGTAGCGCTGCACTTGAGCGAAGGTGGAAGCAACGCATAGAAAAATGAGCAAATACACAAACCCTTCTTCGGAGGATGTAATATTTGCTATCAAATTCGTTCGAAGCATTTACCTTTGAGCGGCAGATGACGCAATTGATTGATTGATTGATGTATCTTTATTAAGGAGGCTTTCAGCCTGAGGCTGGTTAGGCTTTGACGCAATTGTACCTGTCTCATAGCGGTCGTACGAGAAAATGGAAGAGTTGCCAGTATTCTTGATATGTTGTCTCCGCTAAAATTTAATGTTTTCCGCGAAACATACAGATGTCAGAAGTGTGCTTTGAGTAGAATTTTCATGGAAATGTTTCTTCTAGAACGCGAGAAAATGCGTTTTATTTCAAGCTGAACATTGCATTAGGTCCTAAGTAACATTGACAGATTCTCTTCCTCTTCTGGAACCTCATCTCCCCTTTATATTAGCTCTGTAATTAGGGGGACTCCCATCTGAAGTCCCCACCCCTCGTTTTTAAGAGATGAACCAGCCCAAGGCTAAAAATCTCTCTAATAAAGCAAAAAAAAAAAAGATTCTCTTCATCGACTTTCTCTTTGTATTCCCACGGCCATGTAGACATTCCCAGGTATTTTCAGCACACTGATCTATAAAAGAAGCTTTTACCTTGCATCTAATTCGACAAACACAACATGATAGGACCAAAAAATCTTAAATATATTACCTTATTTTCTTAAAATTTCTGGTAGAAGGTCGGCCCAAAGCTATATAACTCGACTATATGATTACTTGCTTTCTAGTTAGGTATCTACTCAGGCTGGTAAATAAAAACCCAAAAATGATGCTACTTACAATCAACAGAGCCATCGTTTTTCCCATGATTTGGTTGAACAGCTCCTGCGCCTGGGCCCCCCGAACGATAAAGAACTCTGTCACGAACAGATACTCCCGGCAAGCGTTGTCCACTAGGGCGTACTGCTCCGATCGAAACAGTGATTCGTACGGATATCGGATCTTTTGCTGTGCATGTGGTACAATGATCGGTGCCTCCAGCTGCTGGTTAAGTACATCGCCCCGGTCTCCGATCGAGAAAACCGTACTCTTATTCTTGAGGGAACTTGTTTTCGAGAATATACTTCTCGTGACCGTATCCTCCAGACCCATCAGGTCGTCTTTGGAGACAGCTTCTTCGAATTTCAACGCGCCCAGCCGGGTGGAATAGCTCTTGAAGTAGCTGTAGTAGATTTTACCCATCGTATCGATGTACTCGTTGCAAATCTCCTGCGCCACCATCCGCTCGTTCGACAAGATGAATTCGAAGAAAAACTTGAACTTGAGCATCGCATTCTGCGGGATCTGATAGTTGGTCATGGGTTTCCGGAATTTGTATATCTGCTCCATCAGATAGACTCTCAGCTTGGTCATTGATTTGATTTTCAATTTATGAAGGACGTCACTAACGTCCTGTGATGATTTCGACTCCTTGAAGTTGAGCTCTTTCATCAGGTTAAGCTTGTGGTTCAGCTCGTTAAGATGAGTCATGAAATCCTTCTCCGTCACGGGTGTGTCCATGATTGCCCTGAAACAAAAAAGTACCCGCTTAAATGCAACTTAGCTCAACAGATAAATTTCCCATCATACGCAATCATTTCTTCCGGTACGGCCATATCCTCAATGAACTGCGACAGCTGTGCCCGAACCGACTGGCGATTGGTCAGCTGAACAGACATCGAAACCGATTTTTTCTGCAGCGTCGTGATTTCGGTGCTGATGTTGTTCAACGCGTCCTGTATGTCCATCAGCATCGATTCCATCCGTTCTAGAATGTTGGATGTGTTCCCAATCTGGTTGTGCAGGTTGGCAATGTTTTGGCTTTCCTTGATGTAATCTTCGATGGATCGATTTTCCACCTCCTTGAACTCCTTCTCGATCTGGGCCGAGTACTGACGCAGGTCAGTCCCCGTCTGGAGAATTTCCTGCACCTCATCGTCCTCGATCTGGTCACTGTTGGACATACCGCGGATCCGGTGTTCCAACTAAAATCTGGATAAAAATCGAAGAACTGGGTAAAATGTTCACGCAATACACCACGTATCAGATCAAAATAATAGTAATCTTCTTCTTTCTTTCACACAAAAAATAATAATCTTTTTAAGGCGAACGCATGAAACGTCAAGATATCAAAACTCGTTTTGATCCAGGTTTTGCTGCAAGGGCGCACATGGTGAAATATTTCTTCGCCTTTGAGATGACGTTTTATGGCAAAACCTTTGTCGGCTCGACAAAAGTGTCCATTTTGTGAGACATCATTGTCGACTTCAAACTTCAAATTTGTTGGAAGTAAACAAGACGCACCTCGTGTCGGGCACGCTTACTTTGTATTCCCGGCTGTGAACGAACGCATTACAGTTCAATCAAGATCTACTCGTGAAAAGCTTGCTTTTTTGGAGGCATTAGCGTGAGAAAGAAGCAAAAATCAATTGAAATTGATATATTCACTTGTAATTTGATTTCAATTACCAGCGAAAGTAGTTTCAGAGGTAAGTTTCCGGTAAAAAAAAGATATACTTCACCGGATGTACCTACAGAAGGTTCAATTGGTATCGATTTTTTTCTTTTTAGAAATGGCCGTCAAAGGTAAGAAAGTTCAGAAGCAACAGCAGAAACCGGTGCCGAAATTGGTAAAGCCATCGAAGGAGGAAGAAGAGGAGGAGTTGGAGGAGGATGATGATGTAGAGGACGAAGAGTTGGAGGAACAATCGGACGAAGATGTTGCTGAGAAAGAGGAGGATGAGGATGATGATGATGAATCAGACGAGGAGGAAGATGACGAGGACGAAAAAGACGATGAAGAGGACGAGGATGATGATGCTGAGGAAAAAGTAGAAGGAGAAGAAAAGAAGGAGGCTGCCAAAGACTCAGATGAAGATGAATCCATGCAGACTACGATTTTTGTCGGTCACATCAACTATCAGCTTACGCAGAAAGAACTGAATGACTTTTTCGGTAAAGCCGGTGAAATCGAATCCAGCAGAATCATCCCGAAGAGGGGATATGCATTTGTTACGTACAAGGAAGGAGCTTCCGTTGTTGAAGCATTGAAATTGGACAAACAGGTCCTTTCCGGTAAGCCGGTGCACGTGGAACGGGTCAAATCTAAAAGGTCCGATAACCAGAAGAGGCAAGAGATGAAACGCAAGTCCAACAAGGATCAAAACGAAAAGGGCGCCAAGAAGGCCAAATTGGACGACAAAACAGTCAAGCCGAAAAAGTTCTTCCCCCCGAAGGAAGGAAAGGGCCCCGCTGGGAAAGGCAAACCGAAAACTGAACAGAAGCCACATTCGAGTAAGAAGCCGAACAAACCAGCAGCAGGAAAATTCGTGAAGCCTACGGCTTGAAGATTATTAATAATTTAATTTTCAATATCCTTACCTAGCATAAGATATACATTTACAAAAAAGTGTACAATAAATATTGGTATTTGAAGATTACTATCAACACAGATCGATACCACACTGTTGTATGTTCTATTATGTATGTATGTTCCCATGAAAAATATCGTGATCCTGTTCGTATTCGTCAGTTACACCTGCAGAAAAAGCCTGGGAAAAGCCACATTTGGTGCGACGTGCAACTGTTGCTGGTAGTTCCGAGGCCTGTCGATGAAAATTCGTCCCCGTAGAAGGGTTAAGCTGCGCTCTGTGATGTATGGACAGTCTCGAACCATCAGCGATTCCAGACCCTTGCAGTAGAGAGATAGTGCCCTGCAATTCAGGTAGTTTATAAAAGGTACATTCTAATTAACAATCAGCCAGCTCACCCCACGCCCCGGTCGGTTATCATTTGACATCCGATGACGTTCAAATGTTTAATTTCTTTGGAATTTTTAGCAATGGAATACAGCAGGTTGTCCGTTACACTGGGAAGGTAAGCCAGCGACAGCGTATGTAGTCGGCGGCAATTTAGCAAAAACACTAGAATGCACCGCTCGTTCAACGTGCCACAGTAGGAGATGTCCAGTTCTTGAATTTTGGAGTGATGTAGAGTGAGGGCTTCCATTGCTCCGATGGTGAGCCAGCCGCAGTGAGCCAATTTCAGCACCGTCAGCTGTTTGCACTCGATAATGATCGGCTGGAGGGAAGCGGAAGTTATGTTTGCACATTCACTTAGATTAATTTTGGAGATCTTGGTGTTGCTCCTCAGGAAGTTCCACAGCAGCGCATCTTGCAACCAGTTGCACTTGGCCAAATTAACTGTCCGGATATTGCCCGAGTTGTGGGCTAGCACTTGGAATGCTCGTTCAATGTGGCGATGATTGTTTCCGGACAGATTTATTTCCTTCATTCGACGGAAGCCACCGTCCACGAACTGTTTGCTCAAACGGGAACAGCAACGAAAGTTGAACAGATCCCGCAGGGACAGCAGGGGCAATACTTTGGTGTACAGAACATCATCCCAGGCGATGTCGAACAACGTTATGTCGGAAGTCTCATCCTGCTGGTTGTCTTCTGCCATTGGCAGAACTACTCGATGATCCGCGCTGGCCTGTTAGGGTTTGTACTGACTTTTCCTGACCTCCAAGCAGGAAAAACTAGAAAATTCTAGCACAAGAGCAAAATACTACGACACAAATTTTAATTTTGTATTTTATTCAAGCGAAAAAAACAAACATTCGGCGTCTACATTTCAAAAGGGCGAAATTGCTTTTCTAAACATTATGGCATTAGCTAACATTCAGGCTATACCATCAGGTAATGTTTTTTTGGAATTATGAAGTCATAAGATGTTGTTTTGTATTTGTAAGTTACAAAAAGAGGTTGTAATTTATGTGTTTGGAACATAAAACCTGTCAATTATTAGCTTTTAGAGCGACACAATCACCGATTTTACGATTCGTCAGCGTTCACTCAGAGTGAGCGATCACGAATCACAACATTGCTGATTGTGACTCTCTGAAAGTTAAATATTTGTCAAACATATATTTTATTTTGCATTATTTATAACTGGACTCCTCAAAAGTGTAGAATCGCTAATAATAGTGCGTTTTTAAGTTGTATCGTCTGCGCCTTTGTTTAAGTTATGAGCCAAGGAATAAATGCGCCAAAATGATTTTACGTAATAGCGCGTTTTTATTAGCGTTTCCGCACTTAAAATATATAAATTTAATACTCTTTTCAACCTCTTCTTGTATCCCTAATAAACCGTTACCATACACTAACTATATCATAGATGGTACGACCATACAACATAAAGTTGGGATGATATTCCGAATTGGTGGTTAGGCGCTTCTTATGGTAATTGTTTATGCGGGATGTAGCTTACAAGAAGTACAAACTGTCATTATAGCATACAAATAAATCTAATTCCTGAAAACGTTTTTTATGGTGAAGTTAGTGGAAGCAACCCAATGAGGTACAGAGAGAGGTGGCGCAGATCGTGAAATAGGGTTGTATTAGTAAACCAAAAAATCAACGTAAACGCAAGTAGTGACGTCACTACTTGCGTGTACTTGCCTGTATCGTACAGTGGTTGTGTGAGTGATTGCTTCACCTCGGTAATCCAGCTCATTGGAAGCAACCCTGATCTGCACTGTGCTTGGCATTCCAGTCTGTTATTCAAGAGCAATGAGCTAGATTACCGAGGTAAAGCAATCGGTTAAGTTGTGTGAGTAAAACCCCTGTACGATACAAGCAATTAGTGACGCCACTACTTGCGTTTACTGATTTTTTGGTTTACTAAACAACCATATTTCACGATCTGCTTTCCCTCTCTCTGTAATCATTGATTCAAGAGAAGCTTTTAGTCACAGTAGTAATGCCCTGCCAGAAAACGTGATGCCATAAAATTTCATCGACCGCGTCAAAAATTTCTTATGTTTAACACCCCTGCCCGAGAGAAAAATCGATCGAACTGCAAAAATATCAGTGACAGCCCACCAAGCTGTCAGTCTGCTTTTCTTCGTGTTTTCTCTTTGTGGGTCATATGACATCAAGGGATCAAGTGACTGACTGACTGTGTTATCTTCGAGGAAAAAACTCGGAAAATCTCCACCAGCAGGTAAGTTGCGCCCACAAAAATATCGAAAAAGTGCCTCCCTAACTAAGCAAAACGTCGGAACGGTATTTTCGTTGCAGCCAACAACAGCCAAGATGCGCTACACACTCGGTTACTCATTCACGGGCGCTCTGCTCTCGGTGTCAACAGTGTTGATCCTGTACCATGTCCTCACGGGCAAGGGCGAACGCGTCAGCGTTGGATGGTTCCTGGAGGAAACGTCGCCCTACATGTGGGCCACCCTGGGCATTGGTTTCGCCGTAGCGTTGTCCGTCGTCGGAGCGGCCATGGGAATCCACACGACCGGAGTCAGCATCGTCGGCGGTGGTGTCAAGGCTCCCAGGATTAAGACCAAGAACTTGATCTCGGTTATCTTCTGCGAAGCGGTCGCCATCTACGGTCTAATTACGGCCATCGTTTTGTCCGGTATGTTGGAGAGCTTTTCCTGGAGCATGGTTGTGGCCAACGATAACATCCGGTACAACAACTGGTTCTCCGGTTATGTAATGTTCGGCGCTGGTCTGGCCGTCGGCTTGGTTAATCTGTTCTGCGGTATCGCTGTCGGCATCGTCGGATCCGGTGCGGCCCTGGCCGATGCTGCCAACTCGGCTTTGTTCGTCAAGATCCTGATCGTGGAAATCTTCGGCTCGGCCATCGGTTTGTTTGGACTGATTGTTGGCATCTACATGACCTCGAAGGTTAAGATGGGAGACAAGGAGTAAGCTGGAAAGCAGATTCATTCAAACATTTGGACTTAACAAGATGTTCGATCCAACATTAGTAAGTCTTCCTGCACACCATCGCACTCAAACTTCAATTTGATGTTCCTCCTCCTTTTCAGGAAAGTATTACTTGCAAACAAGAACGAGCAGATACAGTCAGTTGTCTAAGTACCAAAACAGATTAATCAAGGGCCATTCCAAATCAACTTAATATCTCTGTATGCAAAGACTACACTCAACATCTATGAAGCCGTTGTATTATATTTTCTGTATAAAACATTGTCCTAGCCGAAAAAAGCCCTTTTCTGCTTCGGAGTACATTAATGTAAATTGGTAAATATTGTTTTGTTTTTACGTTATTTTTTTTAGTGAATATTGCAGATAAAAAAACGGACAGCACTGTTCGTCTATTGAAGGATAAAAAACATATTAGCAGTAAGCTACTACAAATAATCGTATAGGTGGTGACAAACAAACTAGATTCATATGTAACGAACGCGAAACAAAAATCATCATTTGAAATATATGTAGTTCACACGCCCCCTAATGCGATAGACTCTTAGTTAATCCGAAATGGGTGAGAAATAGTACACTTCCTGGGAAACTGATGTATGTCCAATTCTTAAAGGTTACAATTCCAATTTCATCTATAAAAAATAGCTGAATTATTCCACCCACTAATGACCCTTCTTACGTATTGACTTCATGTGTACCCGGAACATTTTCGGATGTGTCTACTGTGATGCTGACGAGGATGCTGGGTAATTGATATAAACACCATTGCACTTGTTTTTGAATTCTCATGTGATTTGAGATGTCGTATGATGGAGTTTGGCACAAGTCAGAATCTGGCCACTTTTTTTTTTTAAATTCTCATGTGATTTGAGGTGTCACATGATGTCCGGATGTGATGAACTATAGCCTTTGGCTAAAAATCACCTTTATGAAGGAACATGTTCCGACAATATTGACCGGTTCTGTGGGACCACAATACCTTTCATTTAGTGGTTGTTGAGTGTACTTCGGTCCAGTGGTTGCTGAGAATCACGTCGCCCAAAATGATGTAACACACATACATACATACACATACACATTCAACATCGCCAAAGCGCTGCATAGAATGAGGGTCGCTAGTAAAAAATGCCATACCCAAGTCACAGACAAACAGACATAACACTCGAAAGTTGTTCATCGAATAAGCATTTAACGATCAATTTAAAAGTATCGTAGGTGGTAGTACCGTCACCTGTGGCGCACATAGTCAATTTCCTTGCGTTTGATGTTTACACGCAGGTTTGTTTCAGGGCCTAATGTATTTTGTTATTGATTCAAACATATTGTATCACTATTTCAACAAAACATGTTTTTGAATCAACAAAATGGTTTTTAGAATCAACAAACAGATTATTGACTCTACAACCGGTTTGTTGATTCAAAAATATTTTTCTTTGAACTAACCGAATAATATATTTGAAACAATGTCTAAAATATATTAGGCCCTGAGTCAAAAATATATCCATTTGAACTTAAAAACCATTTCTCTGCGTGTACACACTACCGCCATCTAATCAGCGAACTACCCACCACAGTGTACTCAACAGATGGCAGTAATGTTTTACATTGAGAAATATTCAATGTGTTATGTCTGTTTGTCTGTGTCCAAATGATAGCTTTTTTTTCTTACTATAGATGATAAGGTTAACATCATTGGAGCTTGGTGGATATTGGCCAAATTTAGATTTTTCATATATCCAGCTTTCCATGCTCGGTAATGGCGGTCTGTTTGTTTGAATAAATGTATCCTTCACTGTGCTTTTTGACACTAACTGTAGGGCGTATGTTGTTTAGAAGAGACGTGAGTGTCGCTAGTATCCAATCTACGAAGTATATCATAACAACGCTAACGCTAACGCTAACGCTAACTGGAGGGCGTATGTTGTTCCATTTTCTTCTGTTCCTGGGAGAGGGAAAGGGAGGGGTCAAAATCCGAACATCCAGATAGTGTCAAAACGCACAGTGAAGGATACATTTATTCAAACCAACAGGCCGCCATTACCGAGCATGGAAAGCTGGATGTTTGCACAATAGAAAAGGGCCCATCAGCATTTGCAAGCAAACCGTTCCAAAGCCCATTCCTCACAAAGCGAAGGCCACCCACGCAAACCAGCACCATCATCGGATAGGGGAAACTTCCACCTACACGATGATGGTGTTGGTTTGTGTGGGCGGCCTTCGATTTGTGAGGAATGGGCTTTGGAACGGTTTGTTTACAAATGCTGATGGGCCCTTTTCTATTGTTGATCCAGACTTTTCCCACTGATGCGAAAACAAACTGTACACGGCTAATGAGATCAACGCAAATTTGAGTACAGTGTACTCAATATCGAAAAAAGTGCAGGATGAGTAAATTTGCCGCATGTTTTCCTGTGGAAAACCTCAAAAATCTGCCCTAAAATTAGGAAAATTGACGAGAATCCAGAGAATCCAATCTTTGCTTTTCTCATATTCGGAAAAAGTTTCCTGGAAAAAAACCTTGAAAACATGAGGGAAATTAATTCAAAACTGAGTTCCTGCACTTTTTGCAATTTATGAGTGAACTAAACTCAAATTTGGGTCGTTCTCATTCGCCGCGTGGTGCTGACTCAGGACAAAACAAACCTCGAAACAAACTTTGCATGCGGCGAGGGACCGAGGGACAACAATTTACATCGTGATGAACTTTGATTCTAATGTAACGTTTGGTTCTGTTGTCATTGGATGTATTCTGATGCTTTATGCGTGCAACAAATTACATCGTGATGAACTTTGATTCTAATGTAACGTTAGGTTCTGTTGTCATTGGATGTATTCTGATGTCAAATTTTACATCGTCAAGACGTTTGATTCTGATGTAACGTTTGAGGCTAATGTATTTTTATGTACTTGGACGTCACACTGAAGTCTGAATACATTAAGGGTACAGCAATACACGTTAAAATTTAATGTATTGAAGATGTCTGCTGATGTTTCCTACATTACAATTTCTTTTCGGGATGTTCTTTTGTGGGATACCAGAAACTGAACTGTTATTAGTTAGATATTCCGAAATTATTCGCTGCTAGAGACCCTCGTGGAGACTCATGTGAAATTGACATTCCAAATGGTAAGTAAACTATTTTCATTGTTATTGGATTTTGGATTCTTTTTTATATCAGATTATGAAATCTGCCAGGACGACATCACGCCAGTTTTCGGTATCGACCTTATAAAATTCCTGTCGGAGAAGGATCAAACCCTACTACAAGCCTCGGAAAAACGAAAATTCAGCTTTGATTGGGAGAAGGACGAAAACCAGCTGCCCGTAGAATCCGTCACCAGTTGGTACTTTCTGCAAATGGAAAACAATACCAAGCTTGCCTTGTCAGTGTCTGGATTCTGTGTTCCTCGTATCAACCCTCACTTACCAAGATGTCTATCTGTGTCTCTCTGTGAATTTCGTTACATAATTGTTAATTAGTTGAAAAGGAAATGAAAATAAATACATTTTTGATCTGTTTTGCATAAATTAAATATTATTTAGAATTTAAAATGAAAAAAAGATGATATTACAATGAAAATGCATGTTTTTAATTTCAAAATTTTGTTTTTCTATTTAAAATGTTATTTATTGTTTCAACTATATCACATTTTCAAACCGAAACTTTGTTTTGAATTGAAAAGATGCCAATTTTAATTCCACCACTCCCGAGCTTTTAATTTGACAGTAGTACAATTTATTTTGAAAGTTTTAACTTTTGAAAGTAGTGAGCGCTCAACTTTTGCTTTAACAGTTGGCTGACTTTTGTTTTGAAAGCCAACCGCTTTCTACCAAAAAGAACCAATGCAAACTTTTAATTCTACCAATGGTTTTATTAATTTTGGCAACGACTTTTCTTTGTGAGGTAAGTGTCTTCCCGAATAGAAATTGTAATGTAGGAAACATCAGCAGACATCTTCAATACATTAAATTTTAACGTGTATTGCTGTACCCTTAATGTATTCAGACTTCAGTGTGACGTCCAAGTACATAATCCCTAATAAAAAATAACCATAAACGAACGATAACCCAAATCATTGAACTATTCCACAAATGGTTTGGATGATACCCAGAACACGTCGTTAAGCAAATTAACCATACAATTTTTATTAGGGATGGTATAGTTCCCCTGCCGCATAGAGAGTTGCCGCAATGATATTAGGTTAGCTAAGGTCAGTAACTGACTGGTGGGAAACGGGAGCTTCAGCATTGACTATTATGTACACATATTTAAGATGTTATCTAACAACAATAATGTGTAGTGTTTACACGATCATGTTTCTAATTCTAATGTGTTGTAAATATAATTGAAAGCATTCAAAGTGTTTTTATGTTACTTCATACGTGAAGTTAGCGATTTTCAGAGTTGGTTGGAAATGCTAACATGAAGGTTTAGTGTGATGATTTATTAGCTAGAGAATGATCTTTAGAAGAGGGTAGGTGGATAGTTCCGTTAGAGTACGGCAGTATGAAAATTGAATAGAAGTTGAAAATGAGCGAAGGGCCATTAATGCGACAGTTTTTTGAAGATACCCTGAACCCACTCTGTCGTTTCTGATGCCGATCCCTGTATCATCCTCCTCCACAAGTGACGTCGGAAGAAAAACGAAAATCCGAAATGGATTTTGAATCTATTCCGGATCCTCCAGCCCCCCCCCCTCCTACAACACTGAACGTAGAAAGAGGCCGGTATTAGGACCAGTGTTAGAAACGACAAAACGCCGCTAATATCACAAAGTTTCACTGGTTTTATTCAAATGCTAATATAATTTAAAATTAAGTTTGTTTTTTTTTCAAACATAAAAAGCATGTTTAAAATAAACATATTTATTTTAGTTCGAATAGCAGTCAAACCAACCAAAAATATTCATGTTTATTTTCAACGCGAATATTTTTAAAATAAACGTAACATTATTTTTATTTTAAACATTAATATCACATGACTTCCCGAATAGAAATTGTAATGTAGGAAACATCAGCAGACATCTTCAATACATTAAATTTTAACGTGTATTGCTGTACCCTTAATGTATTCAGACTTCAGTGTGACGTCCAAGTACATAAAAATACATTAGCCTCAAACGTTACATCAGAATCAAACGTCTTGACGATGTCAAATTTGACATCAGAATACATCCAATGACAACAGAACCTAACGTTACATTAGAATCAAACTTCATCACGATGTAATTTGTTGCACGCATAAAGCATCAGAATACATCCAATGACAGCATAACCAAACGTTACATTAGAATCAAACTTCATCACGATGTAATTTGTTGCACGCATAAAGCATCAGAATACATCCAATTACAACAGAACCAAACGTTACATTAGAATCAAAGTTCATCACGATGTAAATTGTTGTCCCTCGGTCCCTCGCCGCATGCAAAGTTTGTTTCGAGGTTTGTTTTGTCCTGAGTCAGCACCACACGGCGAATGAGAACGACCCAAATTTGAGTTTAGTTCACTCATAAATTGCAAAAAGTGCAGGAACTCAGTTTTGATTTTTTTCCAGGAAAATTTTTCCGAATATGAGAAAAGCAAAGATTGGATTCTCTGGATTCTCGTCAATTTTCCTAATTTTAGGGCAGATTTTTGAGGTTTTCCACAGGAAAACATGCGGCAAATTTACTCATCCTGCACTTTTTTCGATATTGAGTACACTGTCCTCAAATTTGCGTTGATCTCATTAGCCGTGTACAGTTTGTTTTCGCATCAGTGGGAAAAATCTGGATCAACAATAGAAAAGGGCCCATCAGCATTTGTAAACAAACCGTTCCAAAGCCCATTCCTCACAAATCGAAGGCCGCCCACACAAACCAACACCATCATCGTGTAGGTGGAAGTTTCCCCTATCCGATGATGGTGCTGGTTTGCGTGGGTGGCCTTCGCTTTGTGAGGAATGGGCTTTGGAACGGTTTGTTTGCAAATGCTGATGGGCCTTTTTCTATTGTTGATCCAGAAGTTTGGTTTTTCGACGAATAAATTAGCCCGCGGGAAAGTGCCGATCAAGGTGACTACATATAGGTGTTCTAATGTGTCAAATTCACGATTCAGCTATGTTGGATTTTTGTATGGAACAGCTACCGAGTTTGTTTCTGTGCCATAAAAAGGGAGCTACCGAGTTTGTTTACAATTTGCTCTAAAACCGCACTTTTCCCCCCGCGACCTCCACGCTAATATAGTGACAAAGCTGTATCACCATTTATATACCCACCATGGTGCCGATAATGTGTCCGTCGCGAGTTTCAATGTTTTTCTGGTAAGTAAATGTGAACTTATTAATGTAATGTAATATAATTTTGTTTTATTTTTTAGGAAAGTGTACCAGTCCCAAGCCGACTCCCGGTAGGGAGTCTGAAGCTGGATCCCGGCGGGAAGTTTGCAGCCGGATCTCTTTTGCAGGTTAGTGAGTGTTTTTACTAAAAGCTACAATTAAATATAAGTGGACCCCGATGGAAATCCGATGACGGATTCCATAAACGGAGCCCGATGAAGGGTTCCGTAGACGGATCCCGATGACGGGTTCCGTAGACGGATCCCGATGACGGGTTCCGTAGACGGATCCCGGTGACGGGTTCCGTAGACGGATCCCGATGACGGGTTTCGTAGACAGATCCCGATGACGGGTTCCGTTGACGGATCCTGATGACGGGATTCCGTAAAGGGATCCCGATGGGGAAACCGAATACGGATCCTCCCGATGGGGAAACCGAATACGGATCCCGATGGGGAAACCGAATACGGATCCCGATGGGAAAACCGAATACGGGTCCCAATGGGGAAACCGCATACGGATCCCGATGGGGAAACCGAATACGGATCCCGATGGGAAAACCGAATATGGGTCCCAATGGGATAACCGCATACGGATCCCGATGGGGATTCCGTAGACGGATCCCGATGGGAAAACCGAATACGGGTCCCAATGGGGAAACCGCATACGGATCCCGATGGGGAAACCGAATACGGATCCCGATGGGAAAACCGAATACGGGTCCCAATGGGATAACCGCATACGGATCCCGATGGGGATTCCGTAGACGGATCCCGATGGGGATTCCGTAGACGGATCCCGATGGGGATTCCGTAGACGGATCCCGATGGGGAAACCGAATACGTATCCTGATGGGGAAACCGAATACGGATCCCGATGGGAAAACCGAATACGGGTCCCAATGGGGAAACCGCATACGGATCCCGATGGGGAAACCGAATACGGATCCCGATGGGAAAACCGAATACGGGTCCCAATGGGATAACCGCATACGGATCCCGATGGGGATTCCGTAGACGGATCCCGATGGGAAAACCGAATACGGGTCCCAATGGGGAAACCGCATACGGATCCCGATGGGGAAACCGAATACGGATCCCGATGGGAAAACCGAATACGGGTCCCAATGGGATAACCGCATACGGATCCCGATGGGGATTCCGTAGACGGATCCCGATGGGAAAACCGAATACGGGTCCCAATGGGGAAACCGCATACGGATCCCGATGGGGAAACCGAATACGGATCCCGATGGGAAAACCGAATACGGGTCCCAATGGGATAACCGCATACGGATCCCGATGGGGATTCCGTAGACGGATCCCGATGGGAAAACCGAATACGGGTCCCAATGGGGAAACCGCATACGGATCCCGATGGGGAAACCGAATACGGATCCCGATGGGAAAACCGAATACGGGTCCCAATGGGGAAACGGCATACGGATCCCTATGGGGAAACCGAATACGTATCCCGATGGGGAAACCGAATACGTATCCTGATGGGGAAACCGAATACGGATCCCGATGGGAAAACCGAATACGGGTCCCAATGGGGAAACGGCATACGGATCCCTATGGGGAAACCGAATACGTATCCCGATGGGGAAACCGAATACGTATCCTGATGGGGAAACCGAATACGGATCCTGATGGGGAAACCGAATACGGATCCCAATAGGAAAACCGAATACGGGTCCCAATGGGGAAACCGAATACGGATCCCGATGGGGATTTCGTAGGCGGATCCCGATGGGGAAACCGAATACGGATCCCGATGGGGAAACCGAATACGGATCCCGATGGGGAAACCGAATACGTATCCTGATGGGGAAACTGAATACGGATCCTGATGGGGAAACCGAATACTAATCCCAATGGGAAAACCGAATACGGGTCCCAATGGGGAAACCGAATACGTATACCGATGGGGAAACCGAATACGTATCCTGATGGGGAAACCGAATACGGATCCCAATAGGAAAACCGAATATGGGTCCCAATGGGAAAACCGAATACGGATCCCGATGGGGATTCCGTAGACGGATCCCGATGGGGAAACCGAATACGGATCCCAATGGGAAAACCGAATACGGGTCCCAATGGGGAAACCGAATACGGATCCCGATGGGGAAACCGAATACGGATCCCGATGGGGAAACCGAATACGTATCCTGATGGGGAAACCGAATACGGATCCCAATAAGAAAACCGAATACGGGTCCCAATGGGGAAACCGCATACGGATCCCGATGGGGATTCCGTAGACGGATCCCGATGGGGATTCCGTAGACGGATCCCGATGGGGATTCCGTAGACGGATCCCGATGGGGATTCCGTAGACGGATCCCGATGGGGATTCCGTAGACGGATCCCGATGGGGATTCCGTAGACGGATCCCGATGGGGAAACCGAATACGAATCCCGTTGGGGAAACCGAATACGGATCTTGATTGGGAAACTGAATACGTATCCTGATGGGGAAACCGAATACGGGTCTTGATGGGGATTCCGTAGACGGATCCCGATGGGGAAACCGAATACGGATCCCGATGGGGAAACCTAATACGGGTCTTGATGGGTATTCCGTAGTCGGATCCCTATGGGGAAACCGAATATGAATCCCGATGGGGAAACCAAATACGGATCCCGATGGGGAAACCAAATACGGATCCCGATGGGGATTCTGTAGACGGATCCCGATGGGGAAACCGAATACGGATCCCGATGGGGAAACCTAATACGGGTCTTGATGGGTATTCCGTAGTCGGATCCCTATGGGGAAACCGAATATGAATCCCGATGGGGAAACCGAATACGGATCCCGATGGGGAAACCAAATACGGATCCCGATGGGGATTCTGTAGACGGATCCCGATGGGGAAACCGAATACGGATCCCGATGGGGAAACCGAATACCGATCTTGATGGGGAAACTGAATACGTATCCTGATAGGGAAACCGAATACGGGTCTTGATGGGGATTCCGTAGACGGATCCCGATGGGGAAACTGAATACGTATCCTGATGGGGAAACCGAATATGGATCCCGATTGGGATTCTGTAGATGGATCCCGATGGGGAAACCGAATACGTATCCTGATGAGAAACCAAATACGGATCCCGATGGGGAAACCGAATACGGGTCTTGATGGGGAAACCGAATACGGGTCTTGATGGGGATTTTGTAGACAGATCCCGATGGGGAAACCGAATACGGATCCCGATGGGGAAACCGAATACGGGTCCCAATGGGGAAACCGAATACGGATTCCGATTGGGATACCGTAGACGGATCCCGATGGGGAAACCGAATACGTATCCCGATGGGGAAACCGAATACGGGTCTTGATAGGGAAACCGAATACGGGTCTTGATGGGGATTCCGTAGACGGATCCCGATGGGGAAACCGAGTACGGATCCCGATGGGGAAACCGAATACGGGTCTTGATGGGGATTCCGTAGACGGATCCCGATGGGAAAACCGAATACGGGTCCCGATGGGGAAACCGAATACGGGTCTTGATGGGGATTCCTGTACACTGATAGAATTTCAAAGATTGTTTCTATATGTCCTACTTTTGCAATACAAATTATATCTATGTGTCGGACGCCGTTACGTGGTGTTAGCATCTCCTGATTTTCTCTATAAATTTTCCACTTTCGACCAATTTGGCGCTAGTATCTATAAATTTTCTGTTGAAAATAGCCACTTGGCGCTACTAGCACTTAGTGTCTAGTGTAATTTGTGCAACGCATGCGCCATCATGTTTTCAAAGAGATTTTTTTAAGTGGGGAAGTCGCTGTTAGTGGCGCTTAAGTCGAATAGGAATCTTTACACAAGTTTTTAGAGAAATTTTGTTCGAGCCTCCATGTCTGTTCTCTGTGGTTCATGTGAACCAAAATTTATGAAATTTTGGATTTAGGTTCCATTTTTAAACCATTTTTTCAGCCTATCAATATTGGATTCAGAGAGTAAGCGGCGGTAAGCTCCAACTCGGATTAACTTTTAATACCGCCCCTATTTGGATGATCTGAGAATTGTTTGTATAGCGAATAACTGATGTCGACATCAAAGCAGCCGGACATTCTTGATCGTTATTTAATCCGAGGATAATACCGATTGGAGCTTAGCCATAAGTGATTTAATGAATACGCTGATTGCGACTCTCTGAAAATTAAATCCACAGGTTTTATACGTCAAACTCATCCTTTGCAACGTCCTCTTGTAACTTAAAAATACAAAATGTCATCATAACGTATAATGACTTCATAATTCCGAAAAAAAACATGTTTCCGGGTGGAATAAGTTTCATCAAGCCTTATGATGGTACCCAAGATTGGCCACAAGCAGTGGCGTTTCCTTAACCTCAATCTACCTGCGCACCAGCTCTCAAAAAAAACAATTATCAAAATATTGTTTGCAATGGATGGATATCGAGTAACCGTATCCGTAAGTATCGAGAAGATTAAGTGTATTTTTCAACCGATTCGAGTATGAATAAGCATTAAATCTGGTTTTGTATAACAAAGTTGCGCCAACTAACTCGGTCCCTGGCTGCTTATCTCCAATTTCTCGAGCGTCCCACACTTCCTACATCTTGCTCCACTTGGTCTAACCACCTAGCACGCTGTGCTTCTCTGCGTCTTGTACCGGCCGGATTTGAGGAAAAACACCATTTTTGCGGTATTGTTGTCCGGCATTCTTACAACGTGTCCCGCCCATTGTACCCTTCCACCTTTAGCGACTTTCTTGATATTGGGTTCGCCATAAAGTTACGCCAGTTCGTGGTTCATTCTTCTCCTCTACACACCATTTTCATATACCCTGCCAAAGATGGTCCTAAGCACGCATCGTTCGAAAACTCCCAGTGCTCCTCAAGCATTGTCCATTGTCATATTTTTCATGCACAATAATTTTGTTTATTATATAGGTATTTGCAGTTCGTCAATAAGGTAGAAGACTGGCAGCCCAAAACTTTCCGCATTTTTGGATCATCTGTAGAACAGGCAGAGATCTGGAGGCGCAGCGATCACATTGTCATGATTGTCTGGTAGTTCACTCAAAAATGCTATAACAATCGCCAAGCTTGCTGTAATGTCACCAAGTGCCTCGTCACCCATGAATAGGCGCCTATGTCAGTGGTCTAACAACTCTTAGCGCGCTAATGGCATAGTTCCCCTGCCGCATAGAGAGTTGCCACAATGATATTAGGTTAGCTAAGGTCAGTTAACTGACTGGTGGGAAACGGGAGCTTAAGCAATGGCTATTCTTTATGCATTTAAGAGATAGTCTACCAGAATGGATGACTTTTTTTTGTACAATTTTATGTTTTCTGATGGTTTTGGTTGCAAAACATGAGTTTTAACTTTTCCAATGCTTTCAATTGTACAAAGCATTAGAGCTAGAAACATGATCTTGTAAACACTACACACCTTAACTGGTAGTTTGCTAAAAAAAATGCTGCAACAATCGTCAAGCTCGCTGTAATGTCACCAAGTGCCTCGTCACCTACAAATTGGCGCCTATTTCAGTGGTCTAATAACTCTTAGCGCGCTAATGGCATAGTTCCCCTGCCGCATAGAGAGTTGCCGCAATGATATTAGGTTAGCTAAGGTCAGTTAACTGACTGGTGGGAAACGGGAGCTTCAGCATTGACAGTTATGTACGCATTTTTATTATGTTATCTAACAACAATGGTGTGTAGTGTTTACACGATCATGTTTCTAATTCTAATGTGTTGTAAATATAATTGAAAGCATTTGAAAAGTAAGATTCTAGTGTTTTGTATATCTAAAAACATTAGTAAACATCAACATTTGAAAACATTCAAACAACGTTTACTTTAAACGTTTTGTACATCTGAAAACATCAGAGAACAACAAACACGAAGTACAATTAAAAACATCCGAACAACGTTTAGTTCTAACGTTGTGTACATCCGAAAACATCCAAAAAAAAGTTTGGTTCCAGCATCGGGAGGCATCTACGTTAGAAAACATCAGAATACATTTACATATAAAAACATTCGAACAACGTTTAGTTCTAACGTTTTTTACATCCGAAAACAACCGAAAAACGTTTGATTCTAACATCAGGAAACCTCTACATTAGAAAACATCAGAAAACGTTTACATATAAAAACATCCGAAAAACGTTTAGTTCTAACGTTTTTTACATCTGAAAACATCCAAAAACGTTTGTTTCTAACATCAGGAAACATCTACATTAGAAAACATCAGAAAACGTTTACATTTAAAAACATCCGAACAACGTTTAGTTCTAACGTTTTGTACATCCGAAAACATCCTTAAAACGTTTGGTTCTAATGTCAATAGATTGAAATTTTTGACGTCAGACCGACATTAGAATGGCAAAATTTTGTTCCAAAATTTCTGATGTATACACCATGTTACGTTGCTTAAATACAACTAAATCATAATGTTTTCTAATGTTTGACATCAGGCATACATTTGATTTCGATGCTGATGTAGACATCAGAATCAAACGTTGGGCTAATGTAAATTTCTATTCGGGTTCGAGCATGAAATGCGTTTGAAATAAACCTTGTTTATTTTTGTGGTCAGAACAAACTGAGTTTACGTTTAAATTTACCTCAAATGTTTTTGTTCCAACGATAAATTTGTCCACACAAAAAACTAAAATTGTATTAACAAAAATAAAGCATTTTTAAATTAAAAGTTTCCCAAAACTCATAGTTTCAACTACGAAAACATTCAAAATTAAATTATTTTTTTTTTATTGAAAGTGTTTCTTTCACTTTCGATTCGTAAATCTAAAAACTTCACTGATATCTACTGTTTAAAATCTCTCTATTGTTCGCTTGTTCGATCGACGCTTGAGTATTGTTCAGCGGTTTGGAACCCAAACTACAACAACGGTGCCGAGAGAATTGAATCTGTTCAACGTCGCTTTCTTCGTTTTGCGTTGCGTAGATTGCCTTGGAACGATCCGTTTCGATTACCAAGCTACGAAAGCCGTTGTCAACTTATCGACCTAGAACTTCTCCGGACTAGAAGAGACACAAACAGAGCCCTTACCGTGGCCGATATTCTACAAGGAAGGACAGATTGTGAGGCTATCCTGAGGCAAATTGACCTGAATGTTCAACCCCGACCGCTTCGTAATAACCTTATGCTAAGACTGCCTCTACGTCGCACAAATTATGGAGCGTACGGTGCGATTTGCGGACTGCAGAGAACATTCAACAGAGTTGCATCCGTTTTCGACTTTCATCTCTCCCGTGATGCGCTTCGTCGAAAGTTTTCTTCTGTTTTTCGCCGGCAGGAGTTAAGATATTGACTATAAGATATACGTTTTTTAATGTTTTTTATGTTATGACCATGCTTGAATGTATTTTTTTTTTACCATAGTTGATAAGGTTTAAATCATTGGGGCTTCATCCAGCCTGTTGATGTAATTAAATAAATAAATAAATAAATAAATAAAAGTGTTTCTTTTAACTGAAAAGTTGTACAACTGTCAAAATATCGATGTTTTTACTGGCAGCACGGAACCCTCTTTTGCCGCTTTTTTTGAAAAAATAAATCAAGTTGAATAATCTCAATAGCAGTGGAAAATCTTTGTGTCCAGATGATTGAGAAATCGATGTAAGTATTGAAAATAACAAATGAATTAGATAAGCTATAACACCCGTCCATCATTCCAGTGGCTTCGATTACCGGCAATTTGCACTGAATGCATGAGCAAACTTCCGGAGGAAGAGATGATATTCCCACGCCCGTAAATAACTCACCATCCTCACAAAGATAAATACAGTCACAGATAGGTAAGTGGGGGCCGTCCACTGACCGGCAAGGAATGCTTCTAAATCCATTTTCAGTTACCCGTTTGAGCGGCCGTCATTACTCACAGGATACCATAGCTATCACCTTAGCCTTGCTGGCAAAAAAACAGCAACGCTATGAATTCTTCAATGCAAGAAAGCACCGTTCTGTTCAAAAAAAAAATTGGCGTTAATCTTTACATTGGTATGTGCTTTCTTATCTCACTTCGACAATAAATATCATAACTAACTTTCATTTCATTCCAGTAGATCATACACCAGCGGACAGGTGATTATGGGTGATACTCTGGCATTCACATCGAAGATGATCCCCTGCCGGAATCGCTGATGTTATGTACCTACCACCGCCTACCACTTCATCGACTACGATTATGCTGTTCAATATACAAAATTACGGAAGTAGGGTGATGGTAACCACGGGAAACAAGGAGATTTCGGTAGAATTGTCACACAAAATGCTTCAACCTTTCACGTCGAGGTAACGAGAAAGGAAAATTCCACTGGCGAATAGTACACGAGAAAAGTGAGCTCCGATTAGGAATGAACAATTTGTCCTCGGAAACTGCGAGATTATCCGTGAATGATGTCCCTGGAAGTCGGTTTCTTGGGGTGTTGCTTCCCCTGTTTGGAGCAGAGAACTACTGCAAGAATCTGGTCACAGGAGAAGACGGCACCATTGTTCCACACGCTTTTGCCAAGCGAATATTACCTCCGGGCGAAAGAGGTCAACTTCTAACTAAACTCCAAGATTATTCAGTTGCAACGTTAAACGGTGAACTGCGCGCAACTTGACTGCTTATTTTCCTTTTCAGTTCGATCATTATAGTAAAAAATATAATAATAATATTAAACATATTTTTGAACCTTTTTATTTAAAAATAGAAACTTTAAATTAAATATTTTTTTTTTAAATTTAAAATAAAACTACGATGTTGTTTTGAAAATATTAATTTTGAATTTAAAATAATCCGCTTTCAATTTCAACACTGCCCCGTTTTTCATCTGACTGTTCTACAATTTATTTTGAAAGTATCAGCTTTTAAAAGTAGGGCGCGGGCAACTTTTGAATTGACAGTTGGCAGACTTTCCATTTGAAAGCTATCCGCTTTCTACCAAAAAGAACCAACGCAAACTTTCAATTCTACCAATGTTATTTTTAATTTTATCAATGATTATTTTGTGTGTGCTGCGTGATTGTAAGCATATATCTTAAACCACCGATTTCTCGCAAATAAAAGCTCACTCCTGCACATTAACAACTGCAGCTGGTAGAGGATAGAGTCGGTGTATAATGAGTCACGCCAAGAGTGAAGCCAAGTCTACCTATTGAACTGTCAAATCGGCTACCTATCGTGCAAAGTAAATAAACATTACGATGCTATGAAAGGTCTACGAAAGGTATTGCAATGAAATATAAAATAAAATTGAAGAAATCATCATAAACACGCAGCGAGCATTAAATGGTCATGGGATACGTTTGGTTTTGATCAGTGATGAGAATTTCTACTATTTTTTGATAAGATAATTTGACAAAATCACTGATATTATGATTCACTACAGCTGTTATTTTTGGTTCTCGCTAGAAGTCATTTAAAGTTGATGTAGAAGTCCTCTGTTGCCAAGTGAAAAGAAAGGGAATCCTTCGGAAACCGTGATGCGAGTTCAACTGTTTTTCTCTTGGCGTGACTCATTATACACCGACTCTAGTAGAGGAAACATTCCCCTCCTGTTGGTGTCGTTGTTTTGAATGTGTGAGCTTTTATTCGTGAGAAGTCGACAACCTCTGTTTAGAATAGCAATTTCTCCATTTTGATATGTTGGGACTGATATAATAAAGTGAAAACATCGCACTAGTCGCTTAGAATCTGGCAACCCTGGCCATGCGATGCATTTTTCTTTCCTCTTTTGTTACCTACTTCGTGCTTTGAAACGTCCGTGCGTGGAGGAAACGAAGATCAAAACCTTCGTGCGGTCGCTTCGTGTTTTCAGTCATCGACCAACCACCATAACGTTTTGACGTAGAAATTTGGAGTGCGCTTTCGTGATTCAGTGGAATCAAAAAAATAAAATAATCGTCATTGTGTTAGTGAGCAGAAGAGTAAAGAGAGGAAGATTCACAAAATTGAAAGTGATTGAAGAATATTAGCTAATCAGAACATTGATCGTCTTGTGTGTGGCGTCACTGCGTCACAGTTCTTACATCCCGTTGATATAAATTCTACTGTTCAGCGAAAAAGTGATCTCAGTTACAACAAATAGTCTGCACTTGGAACTACTCGGAGGACTTAACCTCACTTTTTTCCCCTTCCAAGAAGAAACCTCAACTCACAGAAGAGAAGAAAACAGCACAAGGATTTCGGTTTTTCGGATTTGTCCTCGTTTGGGTGCGTTTTTTATTTTCATTTGACTTGCATCATAGAACCTGGTAGAATTCAGGAAAACCGGTTCAATCGAATCAACGTGTGTGGGGGGAAAATCGTCGTCGCTCTTCTGTGTGTGATTACATCACAGCAGTCCGCGAGAGTTCGCTCCACCGGAGCGCTAGTGCTTCGCCCTTTTATGGAACGGCAACCCAAGACTCGCAGATAGCTCTGATCCGGGGGTGTTTTGTGAAAGTTGCTTTCATCGTGTTAGGAGAGTTGGATAATAATGTGACTGAAAGATTTCCATCGACGGAATCAAAAAGTGCAAAAAGTAAACAAACAGTCTGAAAATTCTGAACGAGGATTTTCGATCAGGATTCTACTACGCTGCAGAAGGATAACAGTCTGCTAATAAAAGGAAACAAAAAAAAAAGATTGGATTGTTATTGTGGTAGTAACACGGTGCAATTGTGTGGTTGGTATCGAACAGAGCAAAACACATACGCTTGTGTGTTTGATAAGAGAAGTTAAAGAAAGAACACTCTGGTTACAAGTTTTTCCTCTGTGTGAGAGGACTGTGTACTACTATTATTTGTGACGATACACGGTGAAGCAAAACTGACCGACAAGACGCTTTCGGAAAAAGTATGTCCCAACGTGAACGAGATACATTTATTCATCTATTCGCTGGAGGGTAAGTTTGTTCAAAAGACTTTACTAATGATTTAGATGACATCCTGCCAGTACGTGTCTTCCAACATTTGGAAACATTTGGATTTTTAATGCTATTTTGTGATGATGATTAAATTGATTGATCTATCTATGAGTAATCGTCGCGAAACACGAAAGACCAGGACTTCTTCGAAGGATAGCCAAGTATATTGGTAATAATTATCATGTTCTAAAAAAGCATGAATATAGGTGTGTTAATTTACAACAATTTGTTTAGTGATTTAAGATTCGTAAATTAATGATGAAATAACTAAAAATAATTAGTATTTATTAGAGAGGGTTCACGATAACATTTTTCTAGACACTGTAGCTTTTTTGAGCAATCAAAGTTTGCTAATGATACTAATAATCAAACCAAACAGTTTTCTCACTGGTTAATGACCGCACTGCTAGACGTTTCAGACTACGTGACCGTTGTCCAATTAAGATTCAAAAGTGCTAAACACATCTTAATTAACAGTGTACGATTTCCCAGCTCTGCTGAAAATATCCGAACTCACTCAACACAACAACACACCACCGAGTCGAACGAAACTCGTCCTACATAAGTACTCAAACAGACACAACCAAGAAGTCACAGTGCGTACGTGTCGAACCACTCGTACGCACACCTTCGGTCCCTTCACCCTCACAAGGCGGAGATAAATATTGACGCAAGAAAATTCAATCGAGGGCTACGAGATATAAGTTCCTTCCGAAAAAGGCTCCACCTGCGAAGGCCGCGCTATTTTTAGCGTTGTTTATGCCCTCATCCCACTGCTTCTCTTGCCATGTCTTCTTCAAGGACAAGCACTGCGTTGTTGACGGTATCGAAACGCAATTCTGGAATCGAATATTCTATTTGGTGGGATCTACATTATTTTATCGCATAACAACTATTTATAGGTACCTAGTTAAGTACAACTTGCATGGACACGTGAACCGTGACCGAGACTTGTCATACCACACATAGCGGAGAAGTAGTCGATACTGCTTCACTCAAAGCGAACACTATTGTGCTATGCGGGGTAGAGCTATTTTTAGAAACTTGTTTTGAATTTTTTATACGCATACCTACCGCCACTTTTCTAACTGTGCATATCTAATTGCCACTCATCGCACCACCAGCTGCCTATCGTCGTAGTTAAGGTGCGATACCCGGTTGATACTTCCAGCATTCCAACGGCCCAGTAGAATATGCACCTTCCTCTGCAGTTGGGAGTTGGCTCCATGAGATCAGGCTCACAAACATAGTCTAACCGCTGGACAGGGTGTATATCACAGCCCCATCTCACCGTTGTTCTATACAATACACGCATAACAATATCACATCGCGTATGCAACTTTCATGGAGGTAGTTCGTATAAGTGAAACCCTCTGCTGGAATAACAGCGACAGCCCAGTGGGAAGATAAAATTTGCGACGTAGTTTTTCGATCCATGTAATGATGACCTTGAACTTGACTCGATGGCGTTTCCGAATATCGAAAACCAACGGCGGCGTCGGTTTTTTGTTTTGTTTGCGATTCTTACAGGCAGGACAGGGTAGGGAGGGGTCTATTTGGCGTCTCTTGGTTGTAGTTTTTGCGGGTTGCATTGATCGGACCGGAAACGAGATTCTCTTAGGTGGAGGTTAGGAGAAATTAGGTGCAGAGGTGGATTAGTGTCCTTGCTCGGTTCAGGAAATGTAAATGTAAGCCCTTATTGGAATGTTTAATCGATACTGCATTGGTATCTTGCATATACTTATGACATGTGCTAGTATATTAGAATTTGCTCGAACTTGTAAATGCCAGCCAACAAACAGGGAAGACCTGAAGAACAGGCTAAGGGTTTGTTGGGAAATCTTATATCGGGTAAATACCTTAGTTCGCTGAATGCTGAAATCTATCCATTGCCAGCAATATATTGATATTTGTTAACGTTTTGGAAGCTAGTACACAGTCAGCAGTTGGTTTCAAAATCTTTAATAATAGTTGTGCCACAAATTTAAAAAATCATAAATTTTGATGCAGACACCTTTTTTATTAGAAGCATGATTGCATAAAAAAATATTACTATTTTGCAATTTTTAGTACATTAATGTAAAACCAAATAACTCTCTTATAAAAGTTGAAACGTTCGTTAAAATCTAAGAGCTCGACTTTAGGAATTTTTTAAACCTTTTTTTTATAAAATATTTAATTTAGCACATGTTTTAAAAAGTGTTAATGTTTAAGGAGGATCAACTTATAAAAACTAAGTGTCTTAAGAATTTTGTCATGACGAAGAAAATCGTCCACACCAATAATTGATAATGCATAAGAACTCAAACGAATTCCTTGAACTTTAGTTGATCACAATTCAGAGGTTTTTCTTTCAAAGTCTCATGACCTATCGGAAAGATTCACAAATTACATCATAACTCCGAACATACCTGTAAACTCTAGATTTTTGGTTAAATAATCCGAAAGGCTTCGGATAATGACTGAAGTCTCTCTAATAAACAAACTTAATCTAACCGAAAGCCTTTGAAGAACGTATCTTGCGTAACATTTCTAAGGTTTGAAAATTTCTTCAAAATCTGAACTTCCCTGAAGATCTCTGAACATGTCTGATAATTCTTGAACTTTTCGAACATAGCTTTACAGGGCTAATATGAAGATAATCTGAATCTTAGATGCTCAGAAATTCAGTGGCGTTGCCTAAATCTCAATATACCTGTGTACAGACTCTGAAACATAAGCAACTATCAAAATATTGCTTGAAATGGATAGACATTGAGTAAACCAGAAGATTATGTGCATATCTCAACCGATTAGAGTATACATATGGCATTGAATCTGGCTTTGAAAGCAGGGTGTTAAAAATTGAGGTTACGCGACGCTACTACAGAAATTTCTAGAAACGTTCAGGAAGCATCTAGAGAAGTTCAGTGCATTTTAAAATGAGTTCAGCGAATTTGTCAGAAACCCTCTAGATACATTCAGAAAACATCTAGATGAGTTCAGTTAATTTCTAGAGTAGTTCAGCAAAATTGAGAAGCTCGGAAAATTTCTAAATAAGTTCAGATTACATCTAAATAAGCTCAGGAAGTTTCTAGAGAGGGAGAATCTAACGAAGTTCAGCAAATTTTTCAGTATTCAACTAGACAAATTCGGGAGATTAGAGAAATTCAGAAAACATCTAGAGTGCTGAGGGAACATCTTGAGAAGCTCAGTAAATTTCTAGAGAAATTCAGATAACATGTAGGTAAGCTCAGGATTTTTTTTAGAGATTTTCATTGTAGTTCAGCATTTTTTCAGTGAACACCTAGATAAATTAAGTTTTGGAGAATTTCAGAGAACACATAGAGTAATTCAGGTAACATCTTTAGAAGCTCAGTAAATTTCTAGAGAAGTTCAGATAACATCTAGATAAGCTCAGGGAACTTCTACAGATGCTCAGGGAGCATCTAGAAAAGTTCAGCGCATTTGTTGAAAAGTTCAGCATTTTTTTTTATTAATTACTTACATAAATTCAGAGACTATCAAGAGCAATGCAGAGAATATCTATACAAGTTTATTAAACTAGGAAACATCAAGAATAATTCGGAGAACATATAGAGAGGTTCAGAAACATCTAGAAAAGCTCAAAGAATTTTTAGAGAAATTCAGCTGACATCTAGAAAAGTTCAGGGAACATATAGACAAATTCAAAGAATCTCTAAAGATATTCAGGGAAAATCTAGAGAAGTTCAACGAATTTCTATTCAAGTACAAGGCACATATAGAGAAATTTAGCGTATTCATATATACGTTTCATCTAAAGAAATTTAGGAAACATTTTAGGCGGATTAAAAAAAAGTACTGGGAAATTACTCGAAATTACTCTAGTTAAATTTAGGAAACAGCTGTAGATGTTCAGAACATATCTAATGGAGTTCAATAGAAAAGTTCAGAGAACATCTAGAGAAGTTTAACTTCATCATCCACCGGGAAATTCAGAGTAGTTAAGGGGAGATCAGAATGTTTTGAATAACTTTAACGAAGTCTTAGTGAGTTTCAGAGAATGTAAAGAAAATACAGTGAGATCTCAATTTTGGCAACATGGCATGAAATCACCCCTCGGTTCAACTAACGGATTTGATTCGTTGGGTCAACTGACAGAAGGCTAACATTTGTTGGGGGTGTGCTCATCCTTTGTTGTGGTTGAGATGATTTTACAAAAAGGGGATTCAATTACAGCGGATTGAAGCAAATTGCTTCAAGCTGAGTGGAAAAAGCTCAAATTTTGTTTTCGTTTTCTTCTAGAATTTCAAATATTTTGAGCTATAAAATATAAACATTCATACATTTGATTCGCAGTCTTAACGGAAAAATTATGTATGTCAAATCCAATTTGACATGAGATTTTGACATCCAATTGCTTTTTAATTGGGCCATGGCCCAACCAGCGCAGGCCAAGTATTAAAACCCCAACTAGCGAATTTTGACTGTACCTATTTATCCATGATGTTATTTGATAGGTCCCTAAAGTTAACTACAGAAACGGATTCCCACAACATATTTGAAGCCCTCTAAAACTCTGAAATCGCTAAGACCATTCAGATCTACCACGACCTTATCGTGACCACCACTTAAGATGTATGTACTCGTCCGGAACTCACTAAACACCTCCGAATCGCTTTGAGCTCCTCCGAAGTCTTCTTTACAGCGTTGATGTTCGCAGATCCTATTTTGAGCGATCTTCCAAAGTCCGCTGAACTTACCTGTAGTACGACGAATTATCACACACATAGTTTTGTTTGCCAAAATTTGCACAACCGAGCTTTCGGCAAACAAATCAGCAAAAATTACACTTACGATCCAAAAAAATAGTTTAATGTATCTCAGCAAGCTTGTTGCTTGTGGAAATGTCTGCAAAATATTGTCTAGATTGTAAAAACTATTCTTAAATTGCGTTAAATCCTCGATTCTCTCAGAATTTTTCTGAGCAGTTTAGCGAACTTCTGAGAATTCCAACA